ATCATCATAAAGTGGAAACAAGTCAGGTATGTATGTGTGTGTTTAAAATGTTCAATTTAGACTTATATCCTATCTATTGTCAGCTAATTAAAATAAATTAAATACGTCTTTGTTCGGCTATTAAAAAAAAAGATAAGGCTTTTTTACTTTTATATTTCTTAGCCGTCATACCTATACGTCTTTGACACAAACTGTATTTGTATTCCTCATGTAAACAAAGCTTTGTGTATCTATTATAGAAATATAAGACATGCCATCGACACAAAAGATAAACTTGCTATTAATATAAGTTACAGACCAGTTTATAACATGTCATTGAAAATTATATGAATATATTTTAATCAAATTTCAGTACATAAGAATTCTTATGAAATGTTTTTATCTTTTAGCCCTACTTTATTACCCCAACAATACCACATGAATCTGTAACACAATGTGTACCAGGGAAATCTTGTCATGTCCTATTGTTTATGTCTGGCGGATTTTACCCTAAGTGGTAAGTTTATTTTATACCAGGGATGATATACCAGGGATATTTTGTCACATCCCCCTGTTTATATCTGGTGGTGTCTACTCTAGATGATAAGTGTTTTGTGCCATGGAAATCTTGTTCTGTCCTGCTGTTTATGTCTAGTGATATTCAGTTAAAGTTGTGTATTGTATCATGTCATCCTATTTATGTCTCGAAATGTTACCCTGATTGGCAAATGTTTTCCTCTAGGGGCATCTTTCTTTTCCTCGTGCTTATGCCTGTTGATTTTTACAATGAATGATAAGTGTTTTGTTCCAGGAGAATTTTTTATATACTCTTGTTTGTGTCAGATATGTTTTTGCTCTCAGTAGCAGGTGTTTTGTACCAGAGGATTTTTGTTTCTTCCTGTTTATGTCTGGAGGATTTTACCCTGAATGGTAAGTGTTTTATACCAGGGGAATCTTGTCACGTCCTCTTGTTAATGTCCGGCGGTGTTTACTCTGAATTGTAAGTATTTTGTATCATTTACGTCTTGTCTTGTCTTTTCCTGTTTATGTTCAGTTGTCCTTACCGTGAGTTGTAAATGTTTAGTGCCAAGGGAATCTTGTCAATTGTCCTATTAATATTTGGCGATATGTAATCAAATTTGAGTTTTCTACCATTGAAATTTTGTCATATCATTTTGTTAGTGCCTATTGGTGTTAATCCTGAGTGGTCAGTGGTATATACCATTGCAATCTTGTCACATCCTTCTGATTATGTCTTGTGCAATTAATCTTGATTTGTAGATAGTGTGTACCAGGTAAATTTTAACAGGCAAGACGTGTAACGTGCTCCTGTCAATTCCAGTTTATGCATGTTTTAGTTTGTAAGTATGTTGTACCAGGGAAATCTAGTCATGTCCTCCTGTCAATGATTTGACTTTTTTGTGAGCTGTTAGTGTTGTGTACTTCAATAAATCAAACCATGTCAATGTCTGGTTATTTTTCCATGATCTGTAAGTGTTTTGTAATACAGAGATATCTAGCAATGGCCTCCTGTTAACGTCAGGGGATTTTTTGTCATGATCTGTTAGTGTTTTGCAACAGTGAAATTCTGTTCTATATTTTGTTCTTAAGTTCATCTCTAGTGGTGAAAGCATTTTTTTAAGAGTTCTATACCAGTCAAATTTTGTGTATATCATGATTGGTGACAGTTTTGGAGGATCGTTTTAAGAGTGTGACGGTGTCATACACATCTTCATTTCAGTGTTATTTAAAACGTTGTTTTAAACGTTGACTCATTTCACCAGTTTTGAATGTTTTTTTAATTTCTAATATAAATTTAAACTGAGGGTGGGAACATTAATGAATTATGAAATTAGTAAATACACTTATTTATGTCACTTTGTGAAACTTACAGTGTCAAATTTTTATATTTTTTTTCAGTCCGTCTGTCAAACAGACACAAGGACCAACGGATGACCTTCATCTTTTTACATCTGCTGATAATACTAAATTAATTGGCAATTGCACTGCAGATGTTACATTGACCCCACCTTCAGGATCAACAGGAAAATTCAGATTCTGTTTCAATACATTTCTTCCAAAGTATGTATTACTAAAGATAAAATTAAAAAGCTATCTGTTGATAATTGAGATTTATTTATGAATACAAAGATAATATTTCTTATGTAGAACGCAAATTCGTACCATAAAATAAAAAGATAGTCTTATGATTGCCAATAAGACAACTCTCCACCATACATCAAATGACATAAAAGGCTTTTAAGTATATGTCACCGTAAGGTCTTCTACAATGAGCTAAACCAATATCGCATAGCAAGCTATAAAAGGCCCCGAAATAACAAATGTAAAACAATTCAAACGAGAAAACTAATGGCGTGATTTTTGTTAAAAGCAATAAACGGAAAACAAATATATATCTAACGATAGGGGCCGTCTTGACCTTGTTGAAGGGTATAAATGATTCGTTCATTGTTGAAGACCCTACATCAACTGTCAAGATGAAGAACAGGAATAAAAGCCCTGTTCATTGATAATTTTCTATGTTTTCTATGTATTTTGTGCGATTTTGTCCCATGTACATTTACTCCATATCCTTCCATTTTCTATGATAAACAGCAGCAATCGACAACCATAGAATTACAGGGACATTCAGAATGTAGCGGGGTAAAACATATTGTGGGCGCACCAACACTCCCTAATTTGGCAAAGTGGTTTTAACAGGACGACATAAGAACTAACTTTAAGAAATAGTTGAAAATGGGTTAATTCATCAGATCGATACCAAAGCACAAAAAACAACTAACAAGCAAAAATGACAAAAAATACAGATCTGCCAGTACTCGGAGTTACTGAAAGCTATTTTTCAAAGCTAATAACAACTAATAAAAAAAATCATGTATTTAAGACTAACATATCAATCAATACATACACAACTTCCAATGAATTTAGAGTTAAAACGTCATTAACAAGCAAAGAAAAACATGACCTTGTGCAATGTCAAAATTAATGTATCAACAGATTGCAGAACTGTGAATGTACACATGTGTTTATCCATTATATGTAATTGGGTTTTAATTTTTTGATTAAAAAATGAATATCTATATTGAAAAAAACAATATTCAAAGATCTGATAACAGTGTTGAATTGGTGACCTTTTAGAATAAGTTTATATAAAGGATCAATCAAATTACCCGGATTGTATCTAACGGGATCGTTATTTACAGAATGATATGTTAAGATTTCAATGGAACAGTCAAAATTTCAAACTAAATCTGTGTGTCTATAAAAGAATTTAGTACAGGTTTTAAGTAATTTGTGGTATCGAAATCCTTGACTTAATTATGTACTAGTAATACAAAGATTACGTTTATTGAAATCTAAACCACAGACACGGGCATAGCAAACGAGTTGGGATAGTTAAAAACCATAAGATGGTGCCAAAGGAACATCATGGTCCAAAAATGAAAAATGAATTGGTAAAGAAAAATCGTCCCTTTCGTTGTAAATCTTTGAGTTTCCCCGTGTATAACTGAAATATCAAAATCTAGGAAAGGACAGTTATTTTGTTGATATTATTTAAAGTAAGTTCCTTTGTGTGGTTTTTGGCAGTTTATTTAAAACATTGGTGATTATTTAACGAAAAATTATCATCAAGAACGTTTATGGTTGTTGAATTTATCAATTAAACGGAATTTAGATGGGTCTTTACTGAGTTTGGCCATGCACTGTGATTCATAACAGTACAGGAACAATTCTGCTATTAAAGAGGCGCAATTGGTGCCCATAGGAATACATACAACCTGACGAATCGTACGTAGCGGTTGTGGAGGAGAAAATTTACCGCATTATTCATGTCATCACACTTTCATTAAGTATATCTAGCATCTTTACCTTTTTCATTACAGAAGAAGGTTAGTCAATTATTGGTTACTTAATATATCTAGATAATGTATTGGCGGTTTAAATATTTTTTATTACCATGAGTAAAACCTGTCACTCTCTTCATCCTATTTGTCGTAACAATTATTGAGAAATTTCACTTTTAAGATAAGAGTAGATATCAACTAAGTAAAGGATATTCAATGTGTACATATTATGTACATCTTACTACCCATATTTTGTTTGTTAATTATACATAAATTTTGCATAAGAAGGAAGATAAATGTATTTGTTTAACTTGTTATTATGTATAAATGATAACCTAAATATCTTTTCATGAGAAATTAATTGTCTATATTGGTACCACGTTTTGAATTTTATGTCATCTTTATTTTTATAAAACCAGAAAGTTTATGGTATCACGATAAAACAAGTTTGGAATGTCAATGAATATATATATATATATATTTTTATGTCCATGATTCCACTAAATTGAACTAAAAAAGATCATATGTGAAAAATGAAGCATAAGTACAATAAGATATTTTGCTATTGTTAAAAAGCTTAAAACCATGGCTATAAACTCATCATAGATACCAGGATTTAACAAAAATACGCATTCATGACCCAACATTTCGAATGGTTTCGCCAAATACAGCTAAGTAATTGATTCCTGGGATAGAAAATCTATATTATATATCAATTTTATAGAAAATGTTATGACACATTTAAACACATCACATGCATTTATTGATTTGTTTTCCAATAACAAATCTTTTGATATCAGTTATACCTTATGAATTGATGTAATGCCTCAGTGATATTCATGGTAGAGTGCTGTCATTGAGAGTCAGAGGTTGTGGTTTAAATCTCAAAACTAATTAGAAATTAGAACATTTAGCAAATACTAATATTAAACAGACTGAAGTTTCAAAGGGTGTTTTGCCACATTAGCATTTTGGAAAGGAAAAGCCTCTTGGATAATTAAATTAATATGTAATTACCCTTAAATATACTGAATTAATGCCACCTCAACTCCATCATGTAAACCCATGGCTGAAAGTTTCATCTTAAATGTCGTTTTAATTGGTCAACGTTTTTCTCCTGAAATAAACATTTATTATTTCTCTATTATCAGTATACCAGGAGAAACTAGATGTTTTTATGTGATATACATGGATTATACTGGTGAGTATGATAAACTAAAGTCATATTACCAGGAACTGATTGTCATTTAGTCTGCAATATCAAAATTTGTGCAAGAACTGTTGGACTTTGTTTTTTTTTTTATACGAGTTCTTACCACATATAATGTATTAAAGCCTTTCAACTTTTTTTTATTCAAGCGTCAATAATGAGTCTTTTGTAGACGAAACGCGAGTCGTCTGGCGTACAGCATGATTTTTTGGTATCTTTGATGAGTTTATTTTGTTCTTATCACTGCTTGTGAAAAAGACTTTGAATACCAATTGCCCAAACACTATTTAAAACTGCAGTATGGATTCCACATACTGTCATAAAACAAATACTTGATAAACTTATTGAATAGACTTTTTTTCTAAATCAGGTCTTTAAATCGTATGTTGTAATAATAAAGGACTAGCTTTAGTCATAACAGTTATGATAAACATTGTTCCTGGAATAGTACAGACATTATCTAGGCTTTCAATTTTTAGCTTGACGTTGTTTTGCTCGTAATTGCAATAGTTATTGTCAAATTGTTAGAAGTCTTATGGGTTCCAACTACACACATCTAATTGCAGGGCTTTTGTGTTTACTATTGTGTATTTCCTATCATAGAAAAATATCAGGAACTTTCTACAGCAAATGCTATTTCTTCATGATTGATTTGGCTAATCTTTTATGCTCTTTCCTGGTCAAATAGCTCATCACGTTATGAAGTATATATACTTCTTGGCTTTCAAACTTTTGGCTTTCGGTTTCCTGCCTAATGAAGACAAATCAAGAAAAACGCGTAAGACGCAACTAATTTATTAAGTATTGTCGTTATTCATGAAACTTGTTCTGGTATTATATTCTTATATCTATTCTGGTGTGGTAGAAGTATTCAATAAACAGCTGTGGCTACATTAGCTAGCTTCCTTTTGTAGTAAGTAAATTTTGACCCTGCTTTACATAGCATTCTTAGTCTTTGATTTTTCTGAATCAACTTAGTGGTCATTCTGTTGGAAACTTGTTGACTATGCAGTTTATTATTTTGTGAATTTGCTTTACGATAAACTGTCTAAATAGACAAAAGGTATGTGTGTACTTTAAACATGTCGTCGAGTTATTTATCAAGTTAAGGAACTTGATCCCTGTGTTTTGCGTTGTTCTTCCTTATTTGTACATTTATTACTTTGGAACTCGTTGGTTGGTGTGATCCGTTGTACTAACCAGTAATTTTAATTAGTTTTGTTGCTCCTTTTGTGTATCAATATATGTATAAACGTGCGTATGTTTCGTTCTTTTAGCTGTAACAATAAGAAACGAAATTTTCCCACTTGGTTGTACTGACTACGAGGATAAAAGTTTTAGCTGCCAAAATTGGAACAATTCTATTGGAATATGTAAAACAACTTACGGTCCTGTCCATACAATAGCCAGGCACAGATGTCCAAGATTCTGTACATTATGTAAAGGTAGGTAATTATGCATGCTTGATATTATGTAGTAAAAGGTATTTCTACGACTGTATATTCTTAAAGTATTCAGCACGACCGATGTATTATTTCTATATTAATTTCCGTTTCGAAAGCGTTCTGTTTCCACTGTCTGTGACAAAGAAAATTCAACTCACCTAGTCCTATTCCTTTGACCTTAAAGAATAGTGGTTTTTTTTTGTATCATGAGCTGTTAAGCAAATTGAAATAATATTTTAAACACCAAAAACACATAAAACATTGATAGCTAATGATAAAAGAAGAAAACAAACTATCAAGGGGAGGGGGCTCTAAAACTATAAGATGAAGAAACACAAACAATGACTAAAAACAGACAAGACGAAAAGACAATGAAGACTCAAGAAAACAATTAACAGAAAACTAAGGATTTGGCAACACGAGTTCCATCAATGACTGAAAACGGTCTCGGCTGTCCCGGATCAGTGGCCAGTTCATCTTCTATCAAAAGATCATGGCTTGTTCTTCATACCAAGCGAAGATCCGATCATAAGTTTCATTCGGCAAGATCAAGAAATTGAGATAACGACGAATGGAAAATATCATTTGGTTCAATTTATATACTGTTTATGAAGTTTTCCTTATAAACATAAAAGAACAATTCGATGAAACAAAAAGCACACATCCTAGATTTAACTGTGATGTTATTAAATGTCACTTAAACGTAGATAAGTTCCGTGTAAACTTGGTGTGACTTGGATAAACTTATTCTTAAAGGTTATCGATTAAACCCTGTAATATGATTTTTTTTATATTGTCTTTAATAGAACGAACATTGATTTTGTTATTAATAAATTATAAATATGTATAGTCCTATTTCCGTTGAGACTTATGTTTGGCGATGCACAGGTACAAGGTCATCCTTTTCACTGACTGGTTATAAAGTTTTTAAACCGTTAGATGTACATGCACCGATTGATATTTTAGTTTGAGATTTGAGTCTAGCTATGGAGCATACGAAATTGCATAGTTTGCATCCTCAACAGTTTTCATTCAATAATAAAACATTCTCTATAAAGCGAAGCATGAAGTTGAAGTATAATGGTGGGTTCTTTGATAATTCTTCTCGAGACGATCCTGTAGAGGTTTTATACATAGGAAACAAGTTGTTTTGCTTTTGTTTTTGGGGCCTATTATAGCTTACTGTACGGCTTAGGTTTTGTTCATTGTTGATAGCAGTGCGGTGACCTAGCTGTAGGTGCTGACTCGACTTCATTTCGTTTCTGGTAGATAGTTGTCTCATTCGCAATCATTTCACATTCTTTTATTTTCATCTCTAAGCCGATGAAAAATGGAGCACATTTGTTACCATTGTAATGTTGACTGTCCGTTGAAAAACAAACCCACCAAACGTAACAAGTAGGTTGTCAATAACAAAATCCAAATTGTTAAAGTTTAGAACGAGGAGTATTCATGTAAAGAGTGGATAACTTAAACTAATGAATGATTATATGTACTCTACACAACTTGATTATTTTGTTTTCTAATTCTTACCCGATGTATCCTTTTCCTGATCTGCTGATGATTTTTATATAATCAACGTGTGGTTTGTTTGATCTCATTTCTTCATTGGTCGATTATGACGTCAAATTTTCTTGCTTTCCTCTGAATTTTCTATTGTAACGTCACGAAAAAAGTCGACCATAGACGTCACATAGAAAGACCACATCATTTTGCAAATCATTCGAAAAGAAGGATTAAGATTGTCTGTATGTCGTCTAAAAATCATTAGAGAAACAGATTTCACTACCAAATTTCGTGCAATACGATATTTATCCACTCTCGACAGTTAGATTCTAAATATTTAAAACGATCGGCAAGCCTAACGTCTTAAAAATTTGAAAATCTAACTATCTCGAATGGTGAAATATCGTATCACACTCGATGTCGAAGTAGAAAGTACAATTTTGTCATTCATAATTCATCATGCTTTTACAGAGTGTAAATAATGTTTTTATGTATGTTTCATGAATATGTAACATAACGTATGTATCTGAAGGAGAATGCTTCTCTAACGTATATTCCAGAAAATGTATAAACCTAACGTTTTACGTATTCGGACAGAGTGTTTCAATAATAAAAATCGAATATGTTATATCTATTTGCAGGAGCACCTCATTCACAACTACTTCCTACAATTGCATGTGAGTCAACTGTTATTCACAAATTAAAATTGGCTATGCGCACCATCTTTAAAACTAAGAAAATACGCTATACTCAGTTACAAACAACTATGACTATTGCAATTTCTCATTAACAATCGCTCCTCGTAAGTACATTGATTGTTAAGTCAAGCTAGAGATGTTGGACCTTTTAATCATTTCCTTCTAGTTGTTCAACATTAAGTGCACAATTATATATAAAAAAATATCTCTAAGTTGCTACATCGAATCGACTCTATTTGACAACTAATTTGAGAAATATGATGTGTATTGATTAAATGCATATCCCTTTCCATTTCAAGTTGTCAGGAATAAAAATATTTTCAAGCATGGAATTTTCATTTCAGTGTTAAAATAAAGTTCATGGTTCTAGCTCATTTATTCTGTAGCGCCTTTGTTTGACATTGCTGTCACACTGATTTTCTATTCGGATTTCGCCCGTCAAATTTTTTGAAAGCAATCATCACTTCCAAAAGTACTAGACGAACTGGTACCAAACTCGGTCTTTTAAAGCACTTAGATTGTGTATGGAAATGTAATAACATTATAATATGTCCTAGGATGGTGAACCAAATATATTAGTTACTTTAAATTGAACGTAGAAAATAAACAATTTTTATTATTTTCACCAGAGTTATGCCACCTACTACAGTCTAGTGAAATTATATTGGATTTTGGATAACTTATTTTCGGATTCTCTCTCGATGCCAAAACGTTTGCTGCTGCTGAATTTTTTTTATTTGTAAACTACAATAATCATTCAAAGGGTATTCATAATCATTAGTCCATTAGATTAACATTGCCGCTAAAACAAGTCTAGACATTTTATTAAAATTTAGGAGTTTTCTGAATTTAAAGGAAAATAACTTGCATTAATGGCCAATTTATTTTTTTTAAAAGGTCAAATTTATTAACCAAAATACACCAAATCAATTGGGTCATTACTTGTGGACTTAGAAGAGAATATTTCTCGACAGCGGTGGCCTTTTAACCGATCATTTCAAATCCGAAAGTATTAATGAAGTGCAAAATTCTAAAACTAGGTTAAGCTCCAACAATATTTTCTTAGTTATCTTGAATATAAGTTTCCATTTAAATTATTAAGTTTTTAGTCTTTACAGTGTATCATTCCGGTGTATAATTTCTGTTTAAATGAAAATGTTTTCTAATTTCAAGTTTATTCCAACTTTATCATTGCCTTTTTTTTATTTTCTTAAATTAATCATCTAACATTTATCTCGGACTTATAAAAGATGAATTAAAGAAGTGAAAAAAAGCTTCAAGAAAAAAACGTACGTCTGTTCTTATTTATAGTACTAGTTTGCGTTTGAAATTAAATTTCTAATAAAATGAGAGTTAAATAACCGTATATAAAATCATCATAGATATCATGACTAAGATTTAATTTTGTACGCAAGACGCTCGTTTTGTTTAAAAGATTCATCAGTGACTCTCGAATCAAAAAGTGAAAAGGCAAAACAAAAAAAAAGTTGCAGATAATTGATGAACCCAAATGGTTTTGCCAAATATAGCTAAGGTAATCTATTCCTGGGTAGAAAATCCTTAGTATTTCGAAAAATTCAAAGTTTTCATATCAATGATTATTCATGTTAACACAGTAGTGCTGACTACTGAGCTGGTGATAGCCTCGGGAGAAAACCTACACCAGCGGTTGCATCGACACAGTGGTTGTTAATAAACTCATCATAGATACAGGATTCAGATTAAAATTGTGTACATCAGGTATGCGATTCGTCTAAAAAGACTCACCGTAGACGCCCGAAACAAAAAGTTAAATTTGTCAAACAAAGTACGACGTTAATCCCCAAGGTTTTCTAAAATACAGCAAACCCTCAAAATCAAATATTGATAAAAAAAAAACCAAAAAAAAAACCCATAGCAGAAAAATACAAACAAATATCAAATCAATACAAACCACGACTTAGTTGTTTATATGTAATTTATTTTTGTCTACTTTCAGCCGGGACTTGTGGTGATATACTTGGTATTGACTGCCAAACCATAAATATAACCAACATATGCAGCAACACATTTGGACAGAAGTATTGTGCAAAACATTGTAAACAATGCAAAGAATCTGTGGGTCGACTGCCAGATATTGGTTCCTTGTTTGGACGTTAATAAAAATTGGAAAAAAAGTTTATGGATGTGCGTTGAATACAGATAATGTATAGAAATTATATATTCCAAAACCTTGAAACTTTAATATGAACGAAATATTAAGAATGCTTAAAGTCGGTGTAGTGTCTTAAAATAAACTTTAATATTTTTCTTTTTATATTGGTTCACTAATATGCATATGTGTAATTGTTATGTAATCTTGAAATGTGAAATAAATAAATAAATATTAAACATGCATAAAAAAAACCCGAAGCAAGAAATCCGAAGTGATAGTATGATATTACAAATAAATTCTTTAATCAACCAGTTTCACATAAGCGACTTATCAACGCTTATCTCGAAATCCTATGCGAGTTTGAGTTTAAATCCCGCGATAATTAACGATATTATACGTGACAGGGGGCTACATCAAATTGACTCTGATATTTAGCAACACAATAATAAATCAACTAATAATACACATCTCTCTCTCTCATGGTGTATGCTTGAGATTATTTAAGTTTAAGATATTAATAATCGTTTATTTGATTAACAAATTTAAAATAAAAAGATGTGGTATGATTGCAAACGAGACAACTATCCACCAGACCTAAATGACAGATGAAAGCAACTATATATCACCATACAGCCCTCGACAATGAAAAAATCCATACCGAATAGTAAGCTCTAAAAGGTCCCGACACAAAACAATTCAAACCTGAAAATAAGTCATCTTGTTGCTAACAGTTGTGTTTTAATATTAGTAAAATGTTTTTTTAAAAGTATTAATCTTGTAATTGCTTTCTTTTGCTACTACGCTATGTACATTGCAGTATATCAGTTTGATTTTTCTTGAAAAGAGAAATGTATTTGGTAAAAAGAAAATACATTTAATTTCAGTTCTGTTCCAGTATCAATTCGCAGTTTTTCTGAAATATTTTTTGCATCTTCGGCTTGTGACATACAGTAAAGGGGTTACGGCCTACATATAGGTCTAGTACTGTAAATTCAGAAATTATTGCGTGCATTTGTTATTGCGATTTTGTCATTTTAGACTAAACTGTGATTTTAATTTTTGCGGTTTTGAGAAAAACCCTGTTTAATTCTTATAAAAAACTTCAAATTGCGAGTTTAAATTATTGCGATTATAACCCTGTCGCATTTTTCGCAATAATAAAAACATCGCAATAATTTCTGAATTTACAGTATCATAGACTCGAACTTTTAATTGTCTTTAAAAAAAAAACCAGGTTACTATTATAGTGACTTTTGCGTGAAATTTTATGGGTACAAGGACAAGTTACCGGCATTACTAAATAATCGAAATTTCCACTAATAGTAGTATGGAAGTGTAAACCAAAATTGATAGAATTTGTCCTTATATCCTTTGTCAAAGATGTAGTATATATTGTGATATGTTAAAAATATGAAAAACACAATGATAGGTCACCGAGTTTTGTTTTTAAGCTACAGGCTATAAAAATATGAAACATTTTGTATGGCCTATACAGAGAAAAATTTTAAGGTATCATTATATGAATATTTGAAGGTAAAATGAATGATAGAATATCAAAATAAAATATGGGAAGATATAGCTCTTATAAAATGCTTTCAGAATACCAACAGAAAAAATTAACATGTAGAAGACAGGGCCTCGGCTCCGTGTGGAAGACCGTACTGTGACCTAAAATTGATAACTTCTTATACATTGTGACTTGGATTGAGAGTTGTCTCATTGACAGTCATACCACATCCTCTTATTTGAATGTACATCTGTTTCAAATATTTCTGCGTCAGTGATATTTTAAACGGCCATGATAATGAAAAGAGATATTAAATCAGTTTTAAAATACGTATCAGAATTACAGGTTTATCTTTAATTTCAAACATCAGACTATAATACAATGCATTCAATACCATTTTAATTTCTAAGCTATGTTCATGATCGAGTTCGTCTATGCAGAGATTCAGTCCCAGCAACCAGAGTAATTTTCTACATATTTTCAACTTTATCATTTTTCATGCCATTAAAATTAATTGAATATCCTATATTTACCACGCTTTGCCATAAAAAAAGATCAAATTGCTGAATGACCCCCCTCCTAAATTATTAAAATATTCCCAGTGGCATTAAGTACCGTACTGGCCATGATAAATAAGTATAAATTAGGTACTAGGGTTAACATTTTAAATATCTGTATAATGGGATGACCATTTGATTTTTAGGGGGGGGGGAGAGATGTTTAGAAAATTATTATTCTAGTAGGAGTTAAAAATAAATAAATAAGACCAGGCAGGATGGAAACGAATAATCTGCAGGATGCAGGAAATAATTGTGTACAAAAGTTGAATAAATCAATCAAATAGTCGCCCTTTATCAGTAACTGTATGTATAGATAAGGGTTCGTTTTTATCAGATGTCACCTGGTGAGATTGTACAAGGTAAAACGAGGATTCCACATGGCTAATTGACTTCTTAATTTATGACCTAATACTATGTAGATGAAGTGAGCCCCGCTTATTTATCTAATTTATTCTTCCCGTTAAGTGAACGACCTCAGCGTGAATTTGTGACAATTAAAGGTACAATTAAAGCCAGGCGGCTTATCAGATCGTATATTACCGCAACCAACAACACAGCAGTAGTCCGTTTTAAAATCTTTAAATGTGTCATTGTTAATAAAGTTGTCTCGTCAATATAATTTTTATATTTTGATTCAAATGATGCCCATGTTGCTTTGACATGTAAACGCAAACATTTAATCAGATGATTTTTTTTTCCAAGTCTGCATGGTCACTGCTTATCAACCGTTAGCCCCCAGTTGATGAACTCTCTGAAATTATCGCGTGATTTCATAGTTTGGCTAATTAGATTAGACATGCGCAGTTAAATGTGAAACTGGTGTATTCATTTCCCTCACTAGATTGTCCCGTTTTGTCCTTTTCAATATTTTACTCTTGTTCTTGACCTTCTCGAGATTATTAGGGAACACGTTATTTATTAGCAGCATTACTCGTCGTATTGCTGTTTAAGGTGGTATGTGTGTAAAATGTAAAATGTAAAATAAAAATGATAGATTTTTCTCAAACTTTGCACAGTTGATCCCTACAATATGTACATATTTTAGAAATGAAATACTTATATTATAAGTTTTAAAAAACGGAAAAAATAAAGGTCACCGTGCATATAGGAAAGGAAAACCTCATTTTGTTTTGGGTTCCATGGAAACTTTTTAGCAATATTTCTTGAAAATATTCAATTTAGAGATAGCTATTGACTCAACTGGTGGCAAAAAAAAAAATAACAGATTTTCCTCATACATTGTGGACTTAAACTTAATTACATGGGTATTTAAAAAACGCAAAAACATTTGGGGGTCAGCGGCCATCAAGACATTTTCCACATACTGAAAAATAGGTGCAAATAGGCTAATTTCTGAATGAATATATAGGGAAAATGGGCAAAAAAACTTCTTTGGTTGAATATTCACAGTAAACAAAATGACAGAAGTTTCTCATTTTATATGATTGAAAAGATGTCTGTATTTTGTAAAACTGGAATAAAATTTGGGGGTCACTGGCAATATAAGAGAATTAATCTACTTCTTATGACCAGTTTACCATGGAAACGGACTGTAAATGTTATAATTCAGAAAAAAAATCTAATTTTTACTAATAGAGAAGTTTGGTATCAACAAATCTTTAAGAGTTTCCGTGAGCATTTAATAAATTTGGAAGGGTAATTAAGTACTATGTACTGATGGGGAAGTTGATTTTTGGGATTATCCATTGTAAAACACGGACCTATCCATTTATCCATTTTAAATAGCACCAACATATTTCTTACAATTTCAATTAGAATTAATCGAAACTTTGCATGATTATTAAGTAGCTTGTGTAGATGTTCAAATAGCCTAAGTTTGTTTTACCAAACAGACTTTGGGGTTTTCAATGGTAAAACAAGGACAGCTATTTATGAGTGCTCTATATAAGTCTCCTTTCTGAGGAGCACCACCATGATATATGGTGTAAAAGAGACATTTATCACACGGGATAGGCACAGATTAATGTGAGCATTTACCTATCCAGTTCCCCGGTTAGGCTGCGTTAGTTCTTACTACCACAAGTTAAAACTACTTTCTAACTCTGTAGGGGTGTGTGGAGGGTAGGATGGGAGGGGGGCTTTAATCCTTTTTAAGGTATGAATGAGCAGCTGGGACATCCAGTACACAAAAATTCACAAGAAAAAAAGTCACAAATTTGGTAGGAAAAAAAGTCACAAGTCTGATATAAAATAAGGGTAACTTTGTACAACTGTTTAATAGTATGTCATTTCTTTTTTCTTCTTTTACATTTATACTTTGAATAGTAAATAAAAGACATGTTATAAAAAAAACTTTATTTTTTTTGAGGTTTTAAGTGTTATAATCTGCTTAAACAGTAGATGATTGACATGAAATATAAGCAGTAAACTGAAGGCAGTTATTAATAATTAGTTCATAACCATCTGTTTAATATTTTTTTTAAAACTTGACATTTTCATGGTCAGCATTTTGTGTATAATCTAAGGAAAATTTACTAAATTACAATAAGCACAGACATTAAAATACCTTGCCCTGAATTCTAACATTAAAAGATGTTGAAATATTCTAAAACACTATCCAGTTGATATTAACTACATACAATTTCAAATACTTTTCCTGAGACTTTTTCCATACATTAGAGACCTATAATGCATATACCGGTATATGATTCTGCCTACATCTTAATAAAAATCTATTAAAAATGATATATATTCAAAAATTATATATAATAACAAATTTACTATTTTTCTATTATTGTGAATTCATTTCCTGTGACTTTTTATCTGTGACTCCCCCCCCACCCCCCTTGACTTTTTTCCTTTGACTATTTTCCTACATTGAAATTAAAGTAAGTGTCCCCTCCTTACCCACCTGGAGCCTTCCATAAAACCTATATTTCAAAGTTTCTAAAGAAATACTCTAAGGGGACATGCCACCCAAACTTGTTGAGATGAAAAGACTTATTATTTTGATATAAACAAATCTTTGTTACAATCTGAATAAAAGAACAGAGTTCCAATGTTCCCCGCGTTGCACATATTTTATCTATCCAAGGGCAATCCAACTGAACTGTTTGAGCCATCCTATCCATGAAAGTGCACTTTGCTAGTAAAACACTGTCATGTATATATATATATGGCAAGTTTTAAAAGGCCAATTACATGTAACAATATATATTTGTTTCCCAAGTTAGAGAATTATAACCACAGTCCCTACAGTATAAGCCACAAAAATACTGATCGGCCAGTAACAAGTTTTGTAAAATGATTTAATTTTAAAAACAATTATAAGACTACATAGGGAAACGTTCAAGACTTTAAAGGTGTTTAACTAAAAAAGGCTGGACTTAACGGTGCATTACAAAAAATATGTCCTTAAGATTTATTAAAGAGTTCATGTACTTGACCATACATGTACTTTGACAAAATGACATAATTTTATTATGTTAAATTTGGGCAAAATGACCTAAGTGTAAAAAAATAAGAATGTAGGACAGAGAGTCACAGGACAAAAAGTCATAATTCAGTTTTGTGATAATTTTTCTTGAATAATAAAACACTTATTTTAAAAAAACATTTTTGTATTTTTCTTGAACGATTATATATAAAGCAACTTTGTAAACAAAATTTATTCAAGCCATCCTTATACAGCTGATTATACTGCCATGGATTTGGTGCACATACAGAACCTAACTTTCCCCAAAATATTTGAATTTAATTCCGCTATGTCATCCGGGTGGTTCTTTGGAAGAATGAATGTTTGCGGTAATCATGGATGGTAACTGGAAGCATTTGTCGTGCATATTTCTTGACAGGTGTTTGGGTGGTATTGGATGACCTTCCTTGATCTAGCCATTTTGTTGTTCTCCATTTTGTAGAGCATGACGAGTCTTGATACTCATAAATACAACAACAAGTACCAGGTTTACTTACAATGTTCAGTGTAAAATAAATATTCTGTTTTCATGAAACCTTGTGTTTCCCATGGGAAAAAAAAATGGTGCACAAATTGTCAGAACCATGACCTATGGTTAGATAATTTTATGAATGGGGTGGGGGTACTGTTTTTTGTTGTTGTTTTTTTTTATCAAAGATTATGCTTTGAAATAATTCTCGTTAATAATAAATTGCACGCTATCAAATTAATTTTTTGCCTTGAATTGCTCTGATGAGCATTTATGCTCCTATAGTTAGCGGACGATGTACAATACTTACTTTACATACACATCACCTTTTGTTTGCATACATTTTTTGCATATTTGCTGGTCCTTCTCGACTGTAAAACAAGTGCGAAACTGCTTCATAAACTACCGAAATGAAGATCGTTTTCTATAATTTTCGATATGCATTACAGTATTAATGAAAAGCAGTCCACGTGTTCGATTATTATGAATTATTATCTTTGTCTCTTCTCCGACAAAAAGAACATGCTCTTTTTTCCAAAACGGAAGTGAATTTGTAAGAATGAATATTGCAACAATAATTTTTATAAAGCTATAAATTGCAGTTTTCAATTATTCCACTAATCTTCAATGTATTTAATTAAAATTCATTAATTGTAATAATCCAAATTAATTTAATGGCTAATATTGACAATGAGAATGACCTACGATATCATTGCGCAACAAACTGCGCAGAAGGTTCGAAAATTTAAACTCCAATGTAGAGAAGTGATATATTTTTTTTAACAGTTTGAAGAGAAATCTTAAATTGAACTCAATCATTTCACAACAGTACAATTGTTCAAATATATTCAACATAACAACGAAAAATGAAAACAAAAAATAACAATTATCTGCTTATAGAGACAGTAATACCGTAAACATCGGGAGGTGAACTATATTTGTTTAATTCATGAGAGTCGAAATATAATTCTAAGTTAATCCTTTTATTTGTAAAAAATAAGTATTTTTACAATTTATGAAATATCTATCTCAGACGACAAAAATGTAAAGTTATGGATTAATAAAAGATTGTTAACATCAACAAAAAGGCATATTTTTTTTGCAAGTCAAATTAGTGATAATCTGTAAAGTTCATGCCATTACTGAAATATGAATGTAATGAGCTCAACAGATATAGTGACATAAAAAATTAATCAAAACCCCATTCTATGAAATAAGGATTTTGTTGTTGGATTATGCGGTAGTGAGTCTGTATCCATTAATAATTATCATAAACAATTAATATACCATTTTTGCCATAAATTTGATATGTGAGTGAATAAATTGACCATCATTTCATCATAACCTTGATATATGATGTGTGTATAGATGGGTGACTATAATTTTATCACAAACCGTAACATGTATAATTTGCAAAATATTAAAATTCAGTGGTCAGATTGAGGGTGAGGGGGCTGGCCAAAAAGTGTCCATTGAAATGAGATTCACAAAAGCGAATAACATATAACACTGACATACTATTACATTAATGGCTCCACTAAACAACCTTTAGTATGTTAACTACTTTAACTGTTTCAAAGTCAATTGACAATGACTGAGGGGTTAGGGAGATATAATATCAATTGGAATGAGATATGCAAATAGTAGGACGACGACTGCATACTAAATTCTTTGAGTTACCTTAATTGGTTCCTATTAAACTGTCGTTTGGACAAACTTTGACAATTGTTGATGCCGACGACAACATGAGACCAAAATTAGATAATAATGTTACTGAAAAATAAGAAGATACAAAGGTAAGGAAACTGATAATTGAATTTAAATTATACAGAAACCACATTGTTTGAATCTTCAATGTCTACGCTCCTCGTAATGGTATAGAAAGAAAAGATGTCTTCAATGAATTACTCATAAATAAAGCAAATTCAGTTCTGAATTTTGTTATGGGAGATTTTAACTGTATAAAATAAAAAACATGTGCCCCAATGTGAAGAATTAAAACAATTCATTTAGAAAAAATGAACTAATGGACACATGTCGACTCAGAAAGCCAAAAAAAAAAAACGATACACATTCTCAAGAGGTAACTCGTACTCGCCAATAGATTTTAATTTCAATAGTGACAATATCAATTGTAGACTATGGCATGCAATTTTTTTTTTATTTCGTTTTTAATGAAAACAACGGCGTGACAATTGGTATGAACACTAACAAATCCAAATAGGCCGGGGTTATCGGAAAATTTACAATAGTGTAATAAAAACCAACCTATTTGAAAATACATTTGAAACATTCTGATTTTTTTGGAAACATAGCATGAATAAATTTTAAGGTAAGAATTAGTTTTGCCACATAACGAAAACCAAAATAATGGAGAGAAACTTTTGTTAACTGAAAACGAAGTTTAAAATGGGAACATAAATTACAGACAAAAAGACGAAACGGAGCAACATCTAAATTATGTAGCAAAAGTAAAATATCAAAAATACCGAACTCAATGGAAAATTCAAAACGAAGAGTCCCTTATCAAATGGAAAAATCAAAAGCTCAAACACATCAAACGAATGGAAAACAATGATATATATAAATATTACGAACGAAAAGCAGAAGCTGTACGCAGTTCAAACCACTAGTAAATGAATTTTAGTCGTAAACGGTCATTTTGATCTTAAAATCATCTCTCTGAACAATAACTTATATTCAGTCATGTTCAGTCTTTCAATCAACTTTTAGACTTATCCACTGCGGTGAATTTAGTACTGTTCAGACAGTTCGCTGCTTGCAGTCAATGTAGTACTGTTCAGAAAAATATTCTGGACTATTTATTCCACTAATATTGCAGTATTTATTCCTGGCAGAACATTAATATAAAATGTAAAGTTTTTCCAAAAGGAACAGAAATTAAAGCATTTATTTTTTAAGCAAACTTACAGAAGATATCGTCAGATTCTTCTATATATGGAACAGTTAATTATCTTAAATAGGACAATATTACCTGCGTCCTTTTAAATTGGCGCAAATAAAAACTTTATGTTGATGCAAATGACAATTTTTATATTTTTCAAATGCAATACATTCATACAAAGGGAAGAACAAATTATTTAAGTTTACTGATTCATTGGCTTCATTCCATGTATGATAGACATAATCATAAAATTATGATAATTAAGAAAAGGAATTTCAAATTTCGTCTGACCTATTTTAGGCTCTCAAAGTAATTACTAAAATGAACTAAGATAATAAAGACAATAAAGTGTTCCCGTTCTTATTGGCAACGGAGTGCTACAAAAGCAAATTACTACATCAAAAAATTAATCAAACATTTTTAAAAGGCCGGGTTGTGCCGAATGTTTCTTGAATAAGGAAGAATTGTATAAACCGAAACATTCAAATATAGGGAATTTAAAAGGGATAAATGGGAAAAAAACCTTTAAACAATTCCATAATCGAATGTGCACAACCTCATATATAAACACATCATAATTACCAGGATTAAAATGTGTACGCCAGACGCGCGCTTCGTCTACTAAAGACAAATCAATGACGTTCGAATAAAAGATAAAGAGGCCAAATAAAGTACGAAAGTTAAAAGCATTAAGAACTCAAAATTTTGAAAAGTTTTGCCAAATACTGCTATTGTAATCTATTCTAAAAATGCTAAGCATTTCGAACAATTCAAAGTGTTCTAAACTGAATTTATAAACTCATCATAGATACCAGGATTAAATTTTGTATGCATTTCGTCTAATAAAGGAAAGATTAAAATATAAGGTTTGCAAACTCTCTGTGAAATTCAAAAGACCTGGGGGGAAAACTAAAAGTGTACATTTTAGGGAAATTTAGGAGTAGAAATGACTGAGTTCCATTATCTGGAAAAAATAGAAGAAAAAAATATTTTCACAATTCCTTAATAGCAGGTGCACAACTGCAATATATGTGTAATCAATCTGTGAAGTTTCAATGATCTGGGATAAAAACTGTAGAAAAGTGGATAACAGAAATTTGGTGCCGTCTTTCGTAAATTTTCCTGAAAAAATGATTGAGGTCGTACGTCTGGAAAAGTGGGGACGATTGCTCAAATAATTCCATATTAGATGTTGCACAGCTTCAACGTAGGTATTATATTTCTGTAAAGATTTCGGTATCTGGGTTGAAAACTGCAGGAGGACTGATTTCAATAAATAGGTCTCCATTTTCCCACGAGCGCCAGCCCGGCCGATATGACCATACTAATAGACGTTTTTTGACTTCATTCAACCTGTTCAAAAGTCATAAGATGCGGTATGATTGCCAAAACGACATGTATCCACCAGTTTTTTCTGACTATTTTTGTTTTAAGATTTTGTAATTCATTTTCTTCTAGATCCGTGTCAACCTAAATGCCTGAAAATAAAGAAAGTATAAATAATTGATTTGTTTATGCATTACTTTGATTAAATAAGTTGTTCATATTAGGCGTCATTAATATTTCATAACTCTATTTTTTCTTTATATACTTATGTTGACACCAAGGCAAATTCAAAAAGAGGAAGTCCATAAAAACTGACAAAATTAAACGATATCAATCAACGGAACAAATGAAAAACAACTGCCATATTCAAATCAAGACTTGGTACAGGCATCTTCCAAAGAAAGTGGTGGGTTAAACCTGGTTTTATAGCTAGCTAAACCACCCACTTGTATGACAGTTGTTTATAGTTCCGTTATATTGATAAAATTGGGTAAGCAACCCAAACAGACATAATATGTTAATGTGACAATAATAAGGATCCAGTAGTCAAAACTGTGTAAACATGCATCACAGACATACAACACAACTGACTAAAAAATCCAAACAAATATACAAATTAATCTAACAAAGACGGCAACAAAAAATGTGTAGTAAATAGAATTAACTCTTCATAGACGCCAAGACGAAAATTGTGTACGCCAGACGCGTGCTTCGTATACAAAAGACACACCAGTGACGTAAAAAATATTTTTGTCGTTGATAGTACATACCGTATATAGTATACACTTTCTCGATAATGTAAAAATTACCTAAATAGAAATACAAGGGTAAACAAAATGGAAACAACTCTGTAAAAATACTTTGTGTCCGAATCACACCTCATAAACTCACCTGCACCAGGGATGCCCAAAATTAAAAAGTGGAAAACCCGATGGTGAGATGCATAAACACCGAGTCACGTCAAAAGTCATACAACCAAAAGAAACATAATAGCACGAAGACAAATAACGGTATAAACTAATGTAAAATAAAAAGATACATAATTTCATCACTTAAAATCTATAACTCAAGACCATCTTGTATTATTTGTGAAATAGGCATTGAATATTTATCTATTAGGTCTTGGTACTTTCCGATGGACTTCTTGAGAAATATACGAGACATTCTTTGACAAAACCCTGACAAAAAAAAGTTATGAACAGAAAAAGGTTCACAAAGATTGGCCAACATGACTTTATGAGTTAACATGTGCTCCAGAAGGATAAGCTATTTTCACTATACTACAGACACAAATCGGTTTTTTTTAAATACGATGGCGAAAGCATATGCATACATTAGTGGATTTGTAAATGTTTTCTCTCTGCCCTAAGACTTTTAATTGAAATATTTATGAAATAAACAATTTCATTATAGGTCAAATAAAACGAAAATAGAACTTACATTTTGATCAAAAACGAACTTGTGGAAATCGTTAACATCGTGAAGGATAAAAGTACACTACACAGAATTATTGATATTTCCAAACAAAGATATCTTCCCTTTGCCTTTGATGCTAAGGATGAAATAAAAGAACATTAACAAAATGGTATAATCAGCGCTTTCATGATAACTAAATTTGAAGTATCTACAAGGTTCTGTCGATATTAAACAAGCTTTGATTTTACCAATTTTGATTGTTTCGGTTCTATTTTTGTTTCTTACCAAGATAAGTTTAACGTTATACAATTATTTGGTGTTCTTTCATTAACACGATGTTTTTCTTAACACGGCTTCTGCTGGACTTGTTTAATTCCTAAATGAAATACCCTCGGAAACCAACAGGCCAAAAGCAGCGGTATCAACCCAGTTCAAGAAAATAGAAATATCACTCAAGAAATTTCGTGTGTCCGAAACGCTTTTCCGGACATTACCTTCATCAGGAACGCTCAATCTAAACATGTGTAAACCAGTGTTTACGTATTTATGTCATAATTATCAAAACATCATCGATAAAAGATTTGTGTTGTCCAAATCAGTACGACTTTTACATTCAAATTAAATCGATGTCAGTAAATGCGTGTTGAACTATGTACAATAAAGGTCAATTGTAAAAAACTTATATTCTTTACTTTTCAGTCAGTTATTAGCCTTATTATCAAGTTTTAATTATTATTTTTTAATTAAAACAATAGAAGTGAATACAGTAAAAATATATAAACTCTCTTCTCTCAATGTAGACATATTACTATGGTCTTCTTTATAACAAAATTCTGGAAAATATTACACAAGATGGTTTCGGTGTATCTAACTCATATTGAGTTAACAGGAGAGAGCAGATACAATTGAGACAATTGAAAATCGTACGTCCAATTTAGTACAGATGGTCAATAGAGTGTTTTTAACACAGCTTGGCCTAAATAGTATGTGTTGTCTAAGTTGCTTCTGTTATTTTCTTTCTAAATAACTGAATTAGAAAACACGATTCTGAGTTGATCTATTTAACTTTTACATAGAAAACGGTCTAAGATACTTAATTTCATTTAATCCCTGTTTTACTAGCTAGCTTTTTGTGTTCTCCATGCTTTTAAATCCAAATAATCGATTCGCTCACACAAAATTTATCAAAAGTTAGTTTAATTGTTTATTTGGTGTGTTGCAAAACATTGCATTCTGTACATTCTTGGATAGAGAAAACGGGGTACCTGTAATAAATCTGGCGGGTAAACAGGGAATGCTATTAGAAGCTGACAACTTAAGTGAAATAAATGCAGAGTGCATCAGAGAAACTGATAAAAACCACAGTGCATTGAAACTGGAGTATCAATCGTAATCTAGTTATGCTGAGGTGACCAGTGCAGGTAAATGTCGACAAGCTACCTCAAACAATCATCAACCGATGGCCGGTTACATAAAAATAAATCGAGATGGATCATATCAGCAGTGAAACGGAATCAGCTATATTTTTATAGTCTATATAAGAGTTTATAGAACACAAGCAACCAGCAAATTACCGGAAATAATGTTAATTGACACTGATAGAACATACAGTTAGACAAAACATAGTACCTTAGTTGGGATGCATATCCTTTTGAATGTATTTACCTGCTGTAAAATTGGTAGAATTGATATCATCAACATTCATGTGCTCATCTGTACTTAAATGGGAATCTAAAATGTATGAATTATGAAAAAATTAGACTCTTTACGAAGGTACTATCCACCAAGTAGCTTAGGTATTGGGTTGATTTTATATTTAATCAGTACAATGTCAAATTTGTAAAGTTTTATAATTGTTTAAACTAGGTTGAAACGCTAAAATTGATGTTACCCGGTTTTATTTTGCTTTTCAGCTCACCTGACCTAAAAGGCCAAATGAGCTTTTTTCTTCACATGGCTTATTTATGAACGTCCATGCGCCGTTTGACTGAGTAGGTTTTATAAATATACAAATATACATCCGGTCTGATTGAGGAGGTTTACAGGTACCAGAAATGTCTACAATGCAATTTTGGAGTTTGTCGAGTTGCAAAGTTATAATATAGATATTGCGTTTCTACTGGTTCAAGCTATTGGAAAAAGACAAAATCATTAAACTGTGAAACATTTCACTTACCTCTGCAGCTGGAATTGCTTCTACACGTGCACCCATATACAGCATCACATCTAGAAAAATCAGGAAAGGGTGAGTGAAACATTATTTAAATGTCCTTAACAACTTTCAAATTCAATGGAAGTAAAACTTTAATTACTTTAAATTCATATACTTTTCTTTTTGTTCAGTATTCCTTTCATTGTTGTTTTCGGTTAACATTTCATTTGCCCTTTAAAGATAAGATCTTATAACCTCAAATGAACACAAGACATATTACAAATAAAAAGGAAATTAAGGCTAAATACCCTTCTTTTACTTTAGTTTTCTTTAATCTTTTATATATTTTTCTAAATTTGTTTTCTCTGTGTGAGACTCCGCAAATAAAAAAATTCTCGTGTTGAAAAACAAATTTTGAAATTTAGATGGTCTTTGTATATTTTTTTTAATTTATTATCTATTTCTTGGTGGATAATGTCTTATCTCTTCTCTCTCTCTCTCATTCTGTCTAAACCTGAGTTCATTGTCAAAAGTTATCATAAATCATTATTTAATGCAGTGATATACTGCCTTTGAAACAACACAGAAAACCACTAACAGCTTCAAAAATTAATATCTATGCTAAACAAAACCATCTACACAGAAAACTGAAGACTAAATAACACAAACCGGGCTTGTGTCCGATGTTTCCTAAAGAATAGACAGCTCTTGCTGTCTTAGTAGCCGTCTTGTTTCTCATGGCAAGTAAGCATTATGTGATACGTCTCATTCGATGATTTCATAATCGAGCAGTAGATGACAGGATCCAATCTCGACATTTGTCAATTTATTCAAATAAACACAGAAAATGAAGAATAATTATTTATGGCCTTGGCAGTTGAAGCTCTATCATATGATACTGCTAAAAAAATAAGAGAGGACAAGACCCCATGTCATTGTATGTTTTATCTGTATTGAAAATGAGCTGAAAACAAATGAAGCAAAATAAAGATCATGTAAGTAATAGAAACAGCAACATATTACAAGCGGAATACTGGGTAAAACAAACAACAATTCTGATGGCTAAGGTTTTGTCGACAAATGTTCTTTTCTAGTGAAAGACTACGTATTAAAAGGACTGTATTAAGCCTCACATTTAGGATTTCACATTATTAATATGATTTCATGTTGTAGGTTCAGGATTAATACAAAGAATTGGTTGAAAATTTGAATGGAAAATTTAATGTATGAAAACTGATTTTTTATTCGGAATGTCATTCAATGTTTGTTTGTCAACTGTTCTTGGTATTTAAATAATTTTATCTGAATATGGTAATAAAGTCAATAATTGATAGGATAGTGGTTACTACAAAACATATATATTATGATACATTATATCCATCAATCTCTTTATAAATATATAAAAATAAAAAGAGATATGGCATAATTTCCAATGACACAACTACCCATCAAAGTTCAAATGAAGTGGATTTAAGTATTTGTAGGCCACCGTACGTCCTTCAACAATGCGAAAACCCACATCGTATAGACGACTATAAAAGCCTTGCTATTAAAAAATTGTGAAACAATTCAAACGAGAAAACAAATGGCCTTATTTATAAAAAAAAACAATTTACGAAAAACAAATATGACAGACATGACCCAACGACAACCACTGAGCTACATGCTCTTGACTAAGAAATGGCACGAAAATAATGAGGCGGGGTTGAACATGTGTGTGAGCGCGTAATCTCCTATTAACTGCCGACAGTGTTTTAAAGTTTGTAGAGGATATTCACAATTCACAATCAAATTATGTATTTCGGTCTTCGGAAAATAAATTTATACATCTTACACCCTATAACATTTCATAATCCTTTTTCACATGCATCTCGGAAAGAACTGCTACAGCACATGTTGTATACACAACGTCTTCTTGTACACAATGTCTGGCTCTCGACAGCGCTAGCGTGAGTAATTATGATAACAATATATTTAATGCCTTCAACTTCCTTACAACATGTTTTACTGTTTATCCTAATCAAATGGAACTTTCACTGTTTTGCTAGTTTGAACCTACATTTATCATTATCAAACTACGTCATGATTTATATGGGACAGTCCGAACATATTTATACTTTCAGTTTTTCATTTATTGTACGATTAGCTTTGGAGAATAAGTTGTCGTCAGCACTTCGTAATCCTGTTTGTCTGAGCTCAGTCACCGGTTACATATACTGGATCGCGCCAGCTCTGGAATATGATATCAACTAAAGGAAATACACTAGTACTTCATATTCATATGCTGAAATGTTGCTATATAGAAATGGAAAGTTCACAATTATTGAAAGTTGAAATCCTCTCTTTTGTCGAAAAGTTGAGTTTTCAACAGACACTCATTGTCAATTTCTATGGGATGGCTTCTGATTTCAATAATTTTTATTGAAATATAATAAACATGACGTTGGAAAAGGTGTAATGAATAAATCAGAAAAATAAAGTATCTGGCTATCATGATCGGGTGGTGTTCAAATACTGTACATATAGGGCCAACCCGCGGTAAAGCAAATATACATGAATTATTTCTTAAATATAAAGGAAAAAATATAATAAAAAATTATAAAATTATGTCTTTATACCTTTCATTCTCTTCACAGTCACATGTCAGGGAACAAAATTTCCCGTAACTATCCCCTGGACATGGTTTATCGCACATCCCACGTGATCCATATGTTCCTGCGGGACATTCTAAATTAAACATAGTACTGATAAAAGTTGCATATTCTTAATGTTCTAAAATACTTCGATGTACTATACATGCCATACGTTCTACCAAGGCAAATATGTTATTTGAGCATCAAAGTACAAGTATTCTTCTTTACAAAATAATCTTCTATTATGGAGAGTAAAACTTTTATGTAGATATTTAAATTACCTTAAAATATTTTAAAACACACAAGTCAGTATGTTGATATTAAGAATATTTAAATTAAACATATTTACAATACGATAAAAAAAAACGCAATGTTTTGCTAGACACACTAAATTCACCAGGCTTGTATCTATCCAGGTAAAATCGGGTGCAGACAAATAAAAACTTTTGCAGCTCATGGTGCTGTTTAATCAGCACTTATTGGGCTGGGTGAAAACATGAATGACGTGCAAGATTTTTCTCTTGATTTACGAAATATATTGTTGTACTTAGGTTAGTTTGCAACGTCCATTGGCCAATCTTACAAAAATATTAAGGACGATGCCACATAATAAGCTTATTGGAGCTGGTTGACCCAAAAGTTGTCTTTAGAGCTGCGTCATTATTCGCTTCTATTATTTGAAACTGACGTTACCAAAGGGATTTTTCAATCAGCGAAGACGTCGTGTGAGGGAACAGTTTTTGATAGTTTTGTTTACCATGGCCAATGGTTATTAAGATTAAGGTTAAATTTGTCCATTGGTTCTTTCACGTACTTAGTACCACAGGTTTTACATGAATTGAGTTCTCCATTTTACAGTTCGAATTTGCGTAGATGGTATAACTTTGCTTTGCAAATGAGCTGATGAAAGAACTGCTTGATAGTATTGGCCGCCTTACGACATAAAAAGTTCCTTCTCCAACATTATAGCAACCAGGAGATTTGGTAGGTTGCTTTGTTAATGCAGTTTTTACCAAATTGCCACGGCTGTTGTTACTTTTGTCTTCTGAAGGCCATTACAATGGGTGATACATTTTAAAAATCAGGATGGTAAGTGAATCCAAGAGGTGTTCTGTTAGCTCCTTGATTCTTATATCTGTATTCCAGAAGTTCTTTGCAGTTATTGCTGTTTGCTTTTTCGAAAGATGTATCAATACTGTTGTTATTGTATCCTCGATCAATTAGATGTTTACGTAATTGTCCATGTCTAGCATTTTGCTTATTTTCAATTTGAAATAAGTTACACGACGACTAAAGTCACTAGTAGAACAGAAATACGTGTTCCTGATAAAAAAGCGAATGAGGACGCACAATTTCCAGAAGAAAGATTTTTTTTAAATGATGTATTTAACATGAAATGTATTTTTAACTGATTTGATTGATTGATTGATTGTTTTCTTACGCAACTTTCATCACTATTGTGCTATTTCGTAGCGGTCAGTTCTTATAGGTGGAGGTAGCAGGAGTGCCTTGAAAACACCGACCTTTGGTAGGAAATTGACATTCCTAGTAAATTAAGATTGGAGTTAAGCTCAATTATTACGTGCGGGATTCGACCTCACAACTCAAGTGTTGACAGGCTGGTGATACAGTAGTTTGGCTTCTTAGACCACTCGGCCACTGATACCCCTTTTTTACTGAAAGTGTGATCGTACGTTTTATGCTGTTTTGAAATAGTCAAAGTCGCTAAGTGTTCTCAAAAGACAATACGAGACACTTATTGGTTAAACTATGTTCTGAGCCTTGGAAGAGTAGAATGAATAGTTATCAGGGTTAAACGGTGTTAAGCCTTTTTAGTGAACACTCTCCTTAAAATTGGATGTTATAGAATTTTGTTCTTTCGCTATGCCTATTCATTAAATAAACATGTTGGTCATCGAAAGGTGACCAAAAACTTAAATAGTAGTTATATAGATTATTTTAAATTAAACAGCATTATTATTTGAATTTGTTATTTTAATTTTCAGGATCATCTGAGGAAAAACATGTGAACAAGAAATTTAATTGACGTTACCTTGACAAATACCATTAACTAGATGATAGTTGAGACAGCACGTAGATTCCATTCTATACATCGGATAGCCTTGATGACTTTGATCTCTAAAAATATACTTACTAAGACAATGATTTGTGTATATTTCCTTTAATTCATTTTATTTTAATTTTGTTTAATGTTTAAACAGGTTTTAAAGTGATTTTAAACATTGTGTTTTGAACATTTTTACTTTTTCAGAAAAAAAAAATATTGTACAACTACTTTTAAAAAAAAAATTTGAACCAAATTGCAGACGTTTAATTAATATTTACTTGTGTATTTTTCACCTTAACTAGGAAAGAATACCAACTATACGTGATAGCAACTGTCAATTGCAACTCGATTCACCGACTTTCTATCCAGATTTTTGTCCGGTCGTTGAGTGTGAGGGAGTCCTTTAGCACTAACGTATCTAAATTTTCGAGGTCAAAACAGTTTCTATCATATCTTGTTCATATGCGTTTCCGACTTCACAAAATATCATTTGCGAAGTCCCAGTACTTACAATCAACTATTTATAGCTATGGCGACAAAATGTTCTTGATGAAATCTACGACATATAGCTTATTGATGATACTGCAAAGCCATTAAATTCTTTCTGCTGATTTGGGGCACTACGGTTTCCATCTTGTATGATTCCCTGTGGTATCAGTATTTATCTTTCCCTCTATATTTTAGTGTTTTCATTTGGCAAAAATTCTTTATAATATGTAATTCTTATTATCTTCTGTAATATTGGCAAATTTATACATTTTGATTTCCTATCATTGTGTACGCTTTAAAAATCATTCGTGTAAATGTTTTTCACTTGAACGCCAGTTGAAAATATCTAAATGGAATTAAACGCGATTTGATTTTGCTCCTCCCAGTTTTTAGACATTTAAGTCCAACAGAATGATTTTTGAAAAGGTAGAATCTTAGTTTTAGTGCGTTTACTATTTTTTTTCACTGGACGGTTATGTTTTGACAGAGAATACATTAATATTCATGCATTGTAAAATATAATAAATAAATATATGTGTCTATGCATATATTTTCCAATCTTTATGGTAAAAGTACAGAAAAGATTATATATATTTTTTTAATAAATCAGGCCTCGAAAACTACCTTTGAAAAGAAGAAGTTTTACCCATCAACACATTTATTCATCTGTTCGAAGGACTTTGGAAAATTTTAATATTGTATTAGTAGAATTTGGTGTTTATGGCAGATTTCGATAGTTTTTGTTTAACTCATTAACATCTGTTTTAGACTGGGGACGATTTAGAGCTTGTCATATTGATTAGACACCTTTTCACAGATTTAAATTACCAACTCGATTATTTTGTAAGTACGTTTTTATTTCATTCAGATGCAGTTTCGCATACTAGTTGTATAAAATTGTAACAGTACATCAAAATCCTAGAAATCCTAAATATAAATAATTATGTTACTCGCGTCTGTTACAATTAAGAAAAGGAGAATAGATACCCACCGAATTAACCAATAAAAAACTAGTTACGTATATATTTAATTTATATATAGCTCAACCTCAGAGAGCTCAACAATGTCGTACTACATAGGTATCGGTATTTCCATCTGATACACTTTTCTCAGGTATCTAGTATGTAGAAGGTTACTTTTCACTTTTAACTGTGGTAATTTACATAAACCATGTTTTATCGTTCTTCACATGAAAGTGTATACCAAATTTATTAATCTTTACATACAAAAGCGAAAGTAAAATGAACTTTCGTTTTTATGTTTCCATGATTGGAAGCATAATGTGTAATTGCTTCAACTCGTTATCATTTCAAGATTTGTGTTGATGACTGAATTTACAGACATCAGTGCCATGCCAGTTTTGTGAGTAAAAAAGGGGGAGGTTCACATTCATTTATCAACAACACTTTCGTACCAAATGAATTCTAGATCCATTGCAAGATATCGATTTTGCGTCAAATATAATTGTTAAATATGCTCATTGCATGTGTTATATTTGCCAGTCTATGAATTGTGGTAACAAAAGCCTTTCCCACTTGAAATAGACCTTAAATTACATATTTCAAATATATGTATAAGTCAAGAATACTTACGATACAAGAGAAGTACACACATGGTTTCTTCCCGTCACTCCGGAAGCAAAAACATATGTCAACAATAATATTTCAAAATTTAGGTTGTGAAGCATTATTCCGTTTTATGGTTTATATGAAAGTTTGACCATTATCTAGAAAACAACATCAAAGCGGAAACATGCTTCATTGAATTGCTTGATAATTTTATTCATGTACTAACAAGGAAACAAATCCTACTTTAACATATATTTCCGATTTCATTTAAATTTTATTAACTTCCTAAAATATACTATCATGTTAAGAGAGAGGCGAAAGATACCAAAGGGATATTCAAACTCATAAGTCGGAAAAAAAATATTTCTATGTTTCCACGATGGGAAGTATAATGTGTTCTTTTTTCTATTCGTTATCACTTCAAGATGTATGTTGAGGACTGAATTTACAGACATCAATCCTATAACAGTTTTATGAGTGAAAAAGTGGGGTTCCCATTCATTTATTAACAACACTTTCATACCAAATGAATCCTAGATCCATTGCAATATATTGATTTTGCGTCAAATATATCTATCGTTTCGCTTCATCATTGCATTTGATACCTCTACAAATATATGTTGTCATAAAAAAACGAAGTGGAAAGACATTCTCAAACTTATTTTGTATCTTTTCAAATCTGTACATTTTTCAATTTATTCTAATAAACAAAGAAAATGAAGAATAATTATCTATGTTCTTGGTAGTTCAAGCTCTATCAGATCGTACTGATAAAAAAAAAATAAGAGAGGACAAGACCCCATGTCATTGTATGGTGTATCTGTATTGCAAATGAGCTGAAAACAAGTGAAGCAAAATAAAGATCAGGTGGAATTTTGTAGATTTATAAGTAAACGAAACAGCAATATATCACAAGCGGAATACTGGGTAAAACAATCAACAATTACGACGGCTCGGATTTGGTTGACAAATATTCTTTTCTTGTGAAAGACAACGTATTGAAAGGCATGTTTTTAGCCTCACAGTTTCAGAATTTCATGTTTTTTATACGATTGCATTATTTCGTGCTCTAGGTTCAGGATTAATACAAAGAATTGGTTGAGAATTTGAATGGAAAATTTAATGTATCACAACTGAAAACTCTGAAAAATTTGATTCATATATATAAACATTTTGCATAGATTTTGTTATTCTTAATATGATTCAATGTTTGTTTGTTAACTGTTTTTGTATTTAAATAATTTTATCTGAATATGGTTAAAGTCAATAATTAATATTCGTCGTTGGTGACAGTCCAATTAGCTTTTACACATACTATATATATATATATAGATATTTTTTTCCCAATTTTTCTGTTCTTTATAAAGAGGTCAGATTGGGAATTTTGCCATTCAATATCCAATTATTAGTTCAACTGCTATGAAACTGCAATACAGTGCAATTTCCTAAAAGGTACATCAATAACACGTTTATCTGACAAACCGCTTCTTTCTGTAAATAAATTATTTATAAACACGGAAGTTTTTTTAATTCTGTGAAGAGCGGTTATGTAATATTTAAAAATATAAGTGAGTTCATATATGTTTATCGATATATATTCACATTTGTGCAACTCTAGCAAACCATTTTCTGGTATTAAAAATGGCTCAACACATTTGTTTTAATGAACTTTTTCTTCTTCTATAAATTACTTTTTGTACGTCTTGATTGACCTAGCGATCTGTCATGTAAAAACGAAAGTAAATGAATAACATAAATACCCGACAATCTCAGGTTGTTAATTTCACACTTTTTTGCCTTTTCAACACAATTTACAGATCTGACAGACATGCAAGTACATTTGTTTTTATTGTATACATTTGAGCTTCTTATTTTACATGGACATTTAACAAGGGTAGGTTGCGAAAGGAACTGTGTAAAGCAATATGAATAATGTTCAGTTAAACATGAACTTGTCCGACGTACGCCCCTACTTAAACTGCCAAACTGAGGTGCAAGTACAGGATAGGGTGGGAAAATAACATGTTAACAACATGTAAATCTTGAAATGTCCGCTTATTCGAAGAGGGGTCTCAACCCCGCAGGAACACTTCTGGATAAGCTTGGACACCACTCCCCCGATGCACAACTCTGTATCCGCCCAGATGAAAAAGTTAATTATGGAATCTGTCAAATTAATGCAATAAACATTATAAGGTCATAACCAGGAGATTTTTATATTAGGGATATACGATAGTAAATTTTTCCTTTAACAACATCTACATCGCTAATTTTTCAATTTAAATTGACAAAGTATCCCTAATTTATTGCAAAATGTAACTTTTCTAATTTGATTTATTCTGAATATAATATTCCATTAGATATGCGCCTATCAACATAGTATTCAATATTCTCAAATATAATTCTGGAAACGTCCAACTATTATTACTGAAAATATGTAACATCAACTTAAATCAAGAAAAATCAAATTGCTACTTAATAAAGTAAAAAGATCGTTTCTAAACTGTCTCCTGTAAAATGTATATAGTTTCACAACTCTAGACAGTGGAATAAATAGTAGATCGAAACAATAGATGTATATCTTGAAGCAATTAAATGTAAAGAAAGTCTGTCTTACTTCATTAATTTTTGAAAACATTGAATAAGAAGTTTGATGTTTTAAAGACGTAAATCTTCACTGCATAATAAATATAAAAGATTAAACTTATACATACATAATTTAAAACTCTTTCCATACACACCAAAAGCTAACTTTGGAATACATCAATCGAGAATATCAAGTGGTCATCCCCCAACTTCATATGCATTACTGCAGTGATGTATACAGCCAGCAGAAAATAATTTGAGGTTTGTATGTTTAATATATCTGTTTTAAGTTGGCATGTTATGTTCCTTATCTTTATCCACATCATTATTTTTTTTAAATGTCCAAAGAGTCCATTAAATTCATAAATGTTATACATAAAAGCTGAAAAAGTATAAACCACTTACCACTAACATATTCCAAATTCCACACATGAGCATAAAAATCGCAAGAAACGTCATCCGATCCCTTGTGAGTATTCCCTGTCCTACTAGCAACAACCGTTATTAGAATCATATAGAGGTTGTCATTGCCATACCAATAGAAATTGGTTTAATCGTCCGGCAGTTGTTCATTTACAGGAAAAAGCGGTCATTGATAAAGAACATTTACACATCGGTAAAGCTGCTAACTGGAACGAATGCTAAACTTGAATTTCATTTATTGACAATCCAATTCCAATATAGATCTCGGATTTCGTTATCCTTATATATACGAGCACGCGAGTTAATATAGATTTGAATCTTAATCAGATTGGTTTATTGAAATATGCACCACAGATTGGAATACTAAGTCGTTAAATACCATTTATTAGTATAAGAAGTAGCTCTACAATAGTTAAAACAAGACTTAAAAAAACTATGTTTGAAGATAATATGGTTATCGAGAACCAGATTTCGGGATCATATCGTTAAATCAAACCCGGTTGATACTGCTCGACCTGTCGACCTGACATCAATTATTTATCAAGAATTTATCCTATTCTGATTAAGAAGTAACTCTTTTATAGACTGCCTTTAATTTCTACATAGATTGAATGAACAGTGCATAATGATCTGATGAACTCATAGACAAGACAAGACAGAATAGAAGTAACATACTGTCAAAGCATTACCTTTTCAACTGAATGGATTTCAAGCTTCTTATATCGGTAAGAATGGAAATATCAAAATCTTATTTCATTTATATAAAATGATTAGAAATATGATTGCCAATGAGACAAGTATGTGAACAACTTCGGGTCTTTAAACAGCATTCAACAATGAGCAAAGCCCTTCACGTGTAATATGCTGTAAAAGACCACGGGACAATTATATTTGAAACAATTTAAAAGAAAAAGAAACAACGACTCGATATATATAAAAACAATAAAAGAAAACAATCATAACAAATAGCAACTAAAGATAACCACTTGATTACAACGTCATAGCTTGTTACAGGCACATCAAGATGTGGCGGTGTGAAACGATGGTAGAAACGGCAAATCGTCAGCCTTTATCGCCATTTTTTCGCTACCGCTAGCCTAAATTGAGCCTATAATTTAACTGCCACTCGTTACACTATATTTTAGAGCTACCAATAGCGTCATACGGAGTTAAGTTATTAAAGTTTACCATTTGTCGACATTTGTGGTACTTAATCTTAATGCTCTTTAACATGTTTGGGGGCGCTCAACTCTCTCCTTGGCATAGTACATTACTATTACAAAAAACAAAAAACAAATCAATTGAGAAGGGACTAGACTTTTCAGGTTAGAACTTCATGAAAAAAAAACTTATACAATACAAAAAGGGACAACGATAAAGATAACTCGTAAAATGTAGTTACTTAAAGCACAATAGTGCATATGCACAAAATAGTTATAAAAGACTAATACTAGTAAATTACTTAACGCCATATTTCCCCCTGTTTATCCCGTTAAACGAATACGGTTGCAGAAATAAATGGAATAATCTTCAGAACAATTATGCAATAAATTCTATCTATAAGGTACCAATTTGAAATTACCACAAAAACCTTGTCCGTTTTAGAGATCATCATTTTTTTCTGAAATTTATACTGTTAAAACTGATATTAATATTTTAGCTGTTATTACTGTTGTTTGCATATGCCAGAAATTCGAACGAAAATCATCACCGATGTAACTCGTGGACTAAATTACACAACAAAGCCAGTCAACCCTCCTGCCCAAATGGAAAAAAATACTATGCTGTGTGGAATACACATAATAAATCGTATATTAACGATTGTTTTGATTTTCGAATGGTCCCAAAAGGTATTTAAAATAAACCAGTGTAAGATAGAGCAATGACATTGAAGATGTTCTGTAACATAAAACATAAAAAATGTTAAATCAAAACAAACATTGTCAGATGGCATAAACACCAAAGGTGTTGTTTTCGTAAAGATAAGTGCACAACCGACCCTATTTGTCAATTTCCACATGTAACATAAAGATAAAAAGATGTGTATGCTTGCAATTAGACAACTATCCATCAAAGTCCAAATGACGTAGAATGCAGCAACTATAGGTAAAAACCATACCGTATATTCAGCTATAAAGTTCCCCGACATGACAAAATGTTAATCAACTCAAACTAGAAAACCAACGGTCTGATTTACGACAAAAGAATATATGAAATACAAATATGACATACAGACAACCACTTGTTTACAGGCTCCTGACTTGGAAAAGTATAAAAATAAGGAGACGTGGTATGATTGTGAATGAGCCAACTATCCACCCAAGTTCAAATGAATTGGATGTAAGCAATTATAGGCAACCGTACGGCCTTCAACAATGAGAAAAATCAATACCGTGTAGTCGGCTATAAAAGGCCCCCACATGAAAAATAGGAAAAATTCAATTGACAAAACTAACGACTTAATTTATAACAAAACAATTTACGAAAAACAAATATGACAGACATGAACCAACGACAACCACTAAACTACAGGCTCCTGACTTGGGACAGGGGCATAACGAATGTGGCGGGGTTAAACATGCTTGTGAGCGCTCAACCCTCCCTCTAACCAGAAACAGTCGTATTACAGCACAACATAAGACAAAACTTACAAAATCAGCTGAAAATGGCTTAACTCATCAGATCGATACAAAGCAGAAAAACATCTAACAAAAACACAGACCGAACGTGGCAGGGTATTAATACATCCCAAACAACAAAAGACACAATGTACATATCTGAGAGTACTCGCAGTTACTGACAGCTAGTTCAAAGTCAATAACAACTACTAAGAGAAATCATGTATCTTAGATTAATATATCAATCAATACCCATCCAATATCCAATGGATTTAGTGTAAAGACGTCATTAACAGTCAGAGAAAACATGACTGTGTACAATACCAAAATATAGGTATCGACAGATTGTAGTACCGTGAAAGTGCATATGTGTATAAAAATACTATTTTTGATGATTTTGATTTACTGATAACAAAATCAATATTTATACCAATAACAACAATATTCAAAGATTTAACCACAGTGTTGAACTGGTAGCCCTTCAGAATAAGTTTATTCAAAGGATTGATAAGTTTACCCGGGTCGTTAATAAATTTCCGGGCTTGGTAAACAACATCACCGTAAAATTTAGGATGTGCCATTCCGTCCGAAATAAGTTCTTTACAGGTACAGCCAAACTTGCAATGCAAATCGTTCTATCTATGGAAGAATTTAGTAAAGGTTTTAAACAATTTGTGGTTACGAAATCCCTGACTTAATGATTAACCAGTAATACATAGATTACGCTCATTGAAATCAAAAACTTCACTACAGACACGGGCATAGCGAACAAGTTGGGATATATAAACAATGTAAGACGGTGCCAAAGGAAAATTAACAATAGAGAAAGAAAAATCATCCTTCTTGTCGTAAAATTTGTGTAGAGTTTCTGGTGTAAAACTGAAATTCCTAAATCTAGGAAAGGACACTTATTCAATGGGGTTAAACATGATTGTGAGCTCTCAGTTATCCTCCTATCCCGGGATAGTGTTTTTACAGCACAAAACGCGAGTTTTTTTGTGATATGATTGATTTTTTACAGGTCATATGCTCATTATTGACCAACAATCTGGACATTTAAACAGTGTTGACTGCCCAGAGGAAACCATACAACCGCAACCGTACTTATCGTATACGGAATGTGGATGCGACAAAATTAAATCCAGATGCAATGAACAAGGTCAAGCAATATTTTCTAATGGGTCGACGTATGAAGATAGATTATGTCGCTGTGACTACACTAGTGGTTATGGGTTTGTGACAATACCAGCTGGGAAATGTTTTTGCAATCCAAAGACAGAAAAGTGCACTTGTCGTCGACAGTGTTGTGAAAATGGATATAAACTGTCCCAAGGTATAGGATATATTAATAAGCACTGAGGTAGAAAATATCTCTAGACAAACATGAAGTAAAATTGATTTGAACACTTATTTTAAAATGTTTCCTTTGTTAAATCTGTTTGATTTATATCAACCCGTTCAACTATTTCAAGATCATGCATGCTACATCTATCTTCAAAGACCTAAATGTTGCTCAGCAAATGTCCTACCTCCATTACAAATATTGTGCTTTCCCTGTAGACAAAGCCACCGACAATATCGTGTTTGTCTTGATATCACATTACATAAACTGTTCGAATTAGGTATTGGCAATTTACTTAGAACCCATAAACTATCACAACCCTAAAAAATCATTGGTCTGTTATAAATTATGTTTCTTTGAAATTTCAACCAAAGATGAAGATATAGATCTGCCTTCACTGTACTGAAAATCCAAATTACATAAGTGTCATTACAAACCATGTTATATTGATTTATTTGCCAGATGCTCTCCTGCTTTCAAAAAGTTATCAGCAAACAAAACCGGGGATCAGAGATATTGTAAAACTAACTACTCTAGGGATGTAAATAAAAAGTTGGTGCTAAAATATTTCAAAGTTCTAATAGAAAACATACAAAAATCAGTCTCTTTCCTCGAGCAATAAAACAAAACACATTTAACTTCTCTACCCTTTACACTAGTATTATTCATTCTATACTTAAAAATCGAAAGAATTAGTCCAACTTGTTTTCATAAAAAGAATGGTCAACGAAGATAAAAAGATATATCCTGTTTTAGCAAGAGAAACATCATTCTTGTAAAAAAAAACTCCAATTCAAACATAAACTGATATTTTTTTTGTATTAGCAATATACATATAACAATTGGAGAAATTGTTTTGAACAGGCATTCTTTTTCCTGTGAGACCCAAACCGTACCCCTTTTCTTGCAAACTTATTCCTTTACATGAATTTATTCCGGAGTTTTTCGTGAAGAATAAATAGAAGCTGGCATTATCCCTTAACTTAACGTCCAACTTTTAAAATGAAGTCCTCTCACAATATAAGTCATAGTTTAGTGACTATGTATAACACATCTATCCCATCGCACTTAATTTATAATTATTCTGGGTTGAAATAAATGATTCAAAGGATTCAATTAAATCTGCTTCATATCTTGACTTACATCTAGTAATTGACATTGAAGGTCGGCTGAAACCTAAACATACGAGAAAAGAAATGATTACCGCTTTACAGTTGTAAACGTTCCATTTCTATGCAACATTCCAGGATCGCCTGCATATAAAGTATATATCTCCTAGTTGATACGATGTTCAAGAGCTTGCCTTTCTTATCATGATTTCCTTGAAAGAGGGTTGCTGTTTTCAAGAAAGCTATTGAATCAAGGATTTCTTTTGGTAAAGTTAAAGTCACCATATCGAAGGATATACGGACGCGATTAGGATTTGGTGGACATTTATGGAAAATATGTATCACAGATGACAACAGATATTTTCGACAATCCCGTTCTCTTTACCTCGATTATGGCTCACAAAATGCGACCTATCGCAGAATTTGTACTTTTTATTTAAAATGCGAAGTAGAATGTATTATACAAATAAAGTAAAATTAAGAATATATTGTCTAAGAATGTGATAACGATCTATTTCTTTTCACATTAGAAATTTTAGAAATGCTTATATTAAACAGTGATGCAACCAGTACAAATAAGTTGTATTTTATTACAGATTATACCTGTATTAAAGAGAAAGAATTTGGGGTGAAAAAATTTACCTGTCCTAAGTTAAGTGAAAGGTGAGCCAACTATGGGGGTTACCATATCCCATATCCCTAGCATTTCAAAATGAAATAGTTTATAAATACTCAATATCCTTATAAAAAATAGCATTTCAAAACAAAAACTATACATAATTAGAATTTAAATGCTTAAGTAAGAGCTTGGATATTTCATATACAGGAAATCCCTTGTAAGACTGGATCCCTGATCTAATTCACACCAAGGCCATTTTCAAAAGTCCTATAATATTTACTATAATGGACAGTATCACACCTCAATTAGTCCCAGATTGCTCTGACATCTGACGGCCTTTTTGGGACTTGTTTAGGCTGTGGGATCCATTTATAAACTTTAAGGTTCTGACACAATATTATTAGTTCCATAGTGTGCTAGTGACCTAATACGATATATATGGGGTCAGTTAATTCCATATGGGGTGAGAGCGAGAGCCATATTCCATATGGAATTTACTGATCCCATATATATCGTATTATGTCACTAGCACACTGTGTAACGAATTTATCTTACCGACTATCTTAACATGTGGTATTTAGACTAGTGGCCGATCAAATCTTCAAAACAAAAACAAATGCCAACAATAATAACTTGTTAGCGTTAAATGTGTTTTATGGATTAATTTCAATCGTTCATCATCAATTTCACAGTCTGCTGAAACCTTTCAGATTTTTCCTCAACACCGTGTTGTTTTTAAAAAGGGACGAAACACCACTACTAACCATGTACTGAAATAAACCACGCCTACTAACCCCATATGAAATATACACGGTCTCCACGAGGTTTCTTTTAACCAATCATATTCCTAGAAATTTATAGGAGGTAAGATAATATTGCTTATTTCTAAATAAACTAAATTCTAAAAACGCATGAAAATAGCCAAATGGACATTTTTTTTAGTATTTATCCTAATTATGTATAAGAAAGACATCCGTAATCAAAACCAAAAAGCTATATATTGTCTTGCATAATATATAAAATTGTTGAAAACTGTTTTAATTATATAAAAGAGGCTCTTTAATATTAATATTTTCGGAAGGATTTGGCAATTTTTAGATTTTGACTAAGAAACAGAAACAGCGGAAATTGGTCCTACCTTTTTAATCAAAATTTGTATAAATTTTAAGCTATTACAGCTGATACAACGACACAACACTGGAGGTCTTTTTCTATTGTTTAAATGTAGGTTCGCTTTTTTCATGACCGTGTATGAGAGAGAGTTTCAGGAATTACCATTTTATTCACGATTGACAAAATGGACAAAACAATAATGAAAACTGTATTTCTTGTGTACATTTATGTTTGCAGATGACTGATTTCTTGTATTGACGAATAAATACATGTAATCTACTGTGTTTTTTATTCGGATTGACTTATTATTATGAAATAAAGATCCATGGACTGAATTTAATAAATATAGTGTAAAAGACCGCTTACTCATTTGAACAACCACTATACATTTTATCTAATAAAAAATTAAATAAGTGTAACTATGCTAATGTTACTGTCAAATAGTTATTCTCGTGCATTTTCCTTTAGAATTCACCAAAAGAACACTTCAATTCCACCAATAGAGTCCGATGAAACAGGTAAATAGTATCTACATAGTAAACGTTATGAAAGGGCTGCAGTTTTAACCAGGGTTCTACAATATAATGACTGAAAATGAGTTTATCATAAATATGATGCTGTCACATAACTTGTTATTATGATGCATAAAAAAACTGAAATAATTAATACAAAAAAAGTTTCCACATCTTTGTCGTCAATGTTCAGTCCATATTGTATCATGTTATTTTTCTAAAACTCCCTCAAACACCATTGACCTGACACGGTTCTAGTCATAAGTTAATGCCCTTTTGGACTTCATTCTATTTATAGGTTTGGTCTGTTGGTCTTTTAATTGTTCGGTTTGTACCATGAACATGAAGAACTCATAGAACTACTTCATTGATCATTCGATAGATTCATTCAAGGGCTGGATAGTGACCTGTAAAATTCATTGATGTTTTTTACAGTCAAAAACATCCTCATTATTTACACCAAATTTAAACATACGCTACGATAAACTGTATGTCAATTAAGGTTATATTACGTTTTGAAGTTAATAAATTCCACATGTCGTTTGATCATATTCATTTTAATCTTTTGACTATTGAAAGAAATGTATAATTAACCACCTAATGCTTAAATAAAAGAAAAGCTTCTTAATGGTGCCAAAAGGTATATCGGAAAATAGATCAGAACATAAACACCAAAACCCGATAACTAAGATGATATAGACGCAAAGAAACCAAAAGCGAATAGCATATGGGGTCCAGATAGCCGAGCTTGATAGAGGGACTCAATATGGTGGGATCGAACCAGTGTTACACAAAAAAAAACTCTGCGCATTCCGTCTACCAAATGGCAATAAGAAGATCATTAACTTGAACAGACTGAACATAATTTTAAAAGCGGGACTAACATGTGCTCGTTTCTGCATGAAACAAACTTGAATTGCTACACTTGTTGGTTGAAAATTACCTCTCAAGAAAACAAAAACGGAAAAACTTCTTATAGGTGTCATGAATATCCTTATATCAAGCATGTACAAAATGTAGCCCTTGTAAGAACTTCCCTGAATTTAATATAGGAAATTTTCAAATGTTTTACAGCTCTTTTCATAATGCTAGCAAGACAAAGGTTTGTTTGGCTTGCTTGCTTTGTTTGTATCAATGTTTGCAAGTATTGTAATTAAGATTGACATCTGAAATAAAGGCAACAGTAGTATACCGCTGTTCGAAACTCATAAATCGATAGAGATAAAAACAAATCCGGGTTACAAACTAAAACTGAGGGAAACGCATCAAATATAAGAGGAGAACAATGACACAACAAAAACACAACATTAAAATGTAACACACACAGAAACGAACTATAATATAACAATGGCCATTTTCCTGACTTGATACAGGACATTTTAAGAAAAAAATGGTGGGTTGAACCTGGTTTTGTGGCATGCCAAACCTCCCGCTTTTATGGCAACGTCAAACACAACACCAAAACGACAACATCACATGACAGGACCACAATACAAATAAATGGGAGAACATATAGGACAAAGAAACACACGAATCATAGCTAGCAGAAGGTACTAGGCTTAAAATTCAATACGCCAGACGTGCGTCTCGTCCACACAAGACCAACCAGTGACGCTCAGATAAAAAAAGTTTGAAAGCCAAAACAAGTACAAAGCTGAAGAGCACCGAGGACCAAAACTTCCAAAAAGTTGCGCCTTACACGGACAGGATTTTCTGCCTGGGACAAGAACATCCTTATTATTTAGAATAATTTATAATTTTGCAAACAGTAAATTTTATAAAATGACTATATAATAGATATACATGATAAAACCAAAGTGGGAACTAACTACAGAATAAAAACGGATACATTACATAAAACAACTTAATCCAACATATAAAAATACACAGCCGAGTTAGCTAAAGCCTCAACGCACAAAGTGACGTCACATTTGAAATTCTAAAAAAACACACAAAGTGACGTCACATATGAATTTGTAAAAATATTTCCCAAAAATAAGATAGGACCAGGATTGACCCAAGACCAGATCTGCAATACTGACATTACATTTATTAATAACAATGAAAATTACAATACTTATTAATATCAAACAACATAAAAAGGCGGATTTAAACGTGTATACTTTATATTTAAATTTGATTTGACATTATCAAATAATCAAATTTACCTATACACAGGTTTAACTCCTCCTACTTATATTGTTTGCAGATGTCAATCTTAATTACAATGCTTGAGCAAACATTTATACAACAAAGCAAGCAAGTCAAACAAACCTTTGTCTTGCTAGCATAACGAAAAGAGCTGTAGTTCTATTTACTACATTATTGAAGAAGAAAATTTACGAGGAACATCACATTGACGGATACAGTAAGATACTGCTAACGACATTAAAATTCGTTGAAAATATCGTCTGAGGAATTTGTAACCCTGTAAACGTAACATTTCGGCAAATGCAAGGTAACGGTCACTATAGTCAGTTAGAACATTTTCTAATATAACTTCCTTTTAAAGTGTTAAATATTGATACATGTAAAACAGAATAATGTTTCATTTTCTGTTATAACACTATTTGTATACACAACATGTAGTAAAGTGCAGACTATAAAAGAAGTAACGTATTTTGTAGGAAATGTTTTGGTCTGGAAAATAATTCTGACAGTAGCTTTACCAACAGCAATTATTTCAGGTTTTATCTTTTTTGGTAAGTACATTTATCAGATAACAAATATCTTTTTTAAATGTTGAAAGCGTAATAGAGTCCATAAGATGATGCATTCGGAATGTTTAAAGCATTGTTTTAATTAAAGTCAACAAATGAGTTACTTTGAAGGAAAATTATCCAATCCCCAATTTCAAATCCATAGGTTTTTCTTAATAGTTACCAAGGTACCAGGATTATAATTTTATACGCCAGACGCGCGTTTCGTCTACATAAGACTCATCAGTGACGCTCAGATCAAAATAGTTATAAAGCCAAACAAGTACAAAGTTGAAGAGCATTGAACCAAAATTCCAAAATGTTGTGCCAAATACGGCTAAGGTAATCTATTCCTGGGATAAGAAAATCCTTAGCTTTTTCGAAAAAATCAGTTTTGTAACAGGAAATTTATAAAACATGACCATATAATTGATATTCATGTCAACACCGAAGTGCTGACTACTGGGCTGGTGATACCCTCGGGGACGAAACGTCCACCAGCAGTGGCACCGACCCAGTGGTGTAAATAGTTATCAAAGGTATCAGGATTATAGTTTTATACGCCAGACGCGCGTTTCGTCTACATCTTAAATGATATGTTGTTAATGCATAAATGTCTGTTTTAATGATATAAAAATAATAATAGGATCACCGACTCCGTTTTAATAGTATGCTTCATTCAAAGTGTGTTCTAGGTGAAAACAGTACCACGAAACGTCAATTAAGCGTAACACCATTGCGTTGTAAGCTGTAAAACGTCAGTTTATTTTTACTACAAACTGTTTTAAATTCTTAAAGTTAGTGTAACTTGGACAATACTTTATTCCTTAAAATCATTCATTTCTTGAAAATGATATTACCTAACAGTTACCAGCAGTCTTATTTGGCGTAAAACAATAACAACAGACTGATTGCATGAAATTAACTATTAGTACTACATTTTACATGGTGTAAGCATGAATAGTGCAATATTTTTGTCTTTCAGTGATTGGTGTTGCGGTTGAAAACAAGAAAAATGTGTGTGGTAAGTCCTATACTTACTTAGCTGTAAAGTTCTTTCATTAAAAAAACTAATGTGGATCTTCCTCTTTTGGGGATTCCAGTAATCGATAAATCAATTTTATCTATTAATTGTGTATCTCCATTTTAAAATGAATAAGAATATCTATTCATGTGCAGTCAGGTTTTTCCTTTTTAGAATTCCGAGCATATAGTTTCGGGTACGCTGAATCGGATATCGGATTAACAGCATTTATGTCAGATCTGTTAGAAAGATCGACATGTATTGATTTCTTTATTTTTTTGACATTTTAAATATTGATATATATCAAATAATGGTACAAAAAGTGTTTTGTAGTCCGACTATTTCTTCAAACGGGAAAGACATTTTAGTGATATAAATCATATAAATCTATATGTTAACAAGTTTGAGCTTTCTAAAAAACTGTGGACTGCTTCGATCTATCCTAATTTAAGGTAATATGTGTGCATGTGGTTGTTGATTTAGTCATGGAAAAGTGGTATATTTATATCTTGGTTGATATAGAATAGATGTCTTAGACTTGGAATATCAATTTTTGTATATATATTTATATTTGCAAATAGACACGACTCTGGAGGTGTGCCTCTCTGGAGGTGTGCCTAGATTGGCAGAAGTTATAAAATACAGATAATGCATTTTTGTAAACATTGTACAGGAACATTGTTTAGCTAAACAAATCGTGCATATTGCAGATTAACAAAGCAAATAAACACGTATTAATAATTGATATTTCAATATTGAATTTCAGTGTGCAATATATGCATAATAAAAAAAACATGAATTAATGACAGTTGATCGGAACTGAAAGACACATAGTTAATTTTCTGGCATTTGATGTCTTATCCTGAGACGAGAAAAGTCTGTAATTCTTTATCTCATTTAAGCCAATAGCTGTTGTGTATCTCAGCCGCATCATAAAGCAACCAATCAGAATCTATATGTGAAAAGTAATTATTTCAAGATGGCGTGTATATCGACTGAAACTAATAGCTCCGCACCGTGATGCGAAGCAATAAGAGACATCTTAACAAAAGTCTACCAACGTTTAACTCTCGCATACTCATTTTGATATACAAACCAAGATAAAAAAAAATATTGGGGAATGAGGGATTTCACATAAACTCAAAACGGAGCGAGACCTGGCCATCGTTTCACAAAAAATCGTACGAAAATCTTACATCTTACGCCGGTCGTATGTCAAATCGTAAGTTTTTGATCGTTTCATAAACAATCGTAAGTAGAATTTTATCGCAAGTTTTATCTAACCTTACTAGTGGTAACAGGTAGTCGTAAGTCAAATCGTAGTGGTTTAATCTGTTGATATTTTGTTAAAATCAACAATATTACATTATCTTATAAAAATTAACCTCCATGACATGGTGTGAACAGAAGACATATACAGTATACACACATTTTATGTTGTCCCAATCATAAGTAACTTAAATTCAAAATTCCTGAAATTATCGTAAATTTACCATTTCTACATTTGAGTTTATTTGAATTGAACTAAAACGAGCATCTTGCTTCCAAAGTTCCAAATATTTGACCATAAAAACTTAGAAGTGATTGAACTAGCACAGCACTAGGGAAATCTGCTTTTAGTTTTAATTAAAGAGGATTGGTACATTCCGTGCAACTTGATGCTAAATATGCTCAAAATAGAAAATTATAAACGTTTATTTACTAGTTCCTTAATCGTATGTCATACGCAGCATTATATACCCCACTTGTGGCATTCTACACGACGATTATGAAATTGACAAGAAATATATATGTCAAGCTAAAATTGCAATCATCCCTTAGTATGCATGTCCTGTGCTTATACACTAGGCGGAGGACAGTGCTCTTTATTTAATAATTTTGTGTAGCACTTAAAGAGTATATTATAGATGTATAAATGTCCTGTTCACCCGGTTGAATCCGTCATAGAAATAAATTAAAGCTGTATATTAAGCATAGATACTAATTTTCTCACCCCATTATAAATGCTGCTACGACCAGAATACCTGTATATAAAATAGATATATAAATGTTACGATTTTCCGATGGTCACAACATGAAAAACTAATTGAAAGACGCGACCGGTCCAAAATAAGGCCCTTATAGCCACTTGTCCTTATAGTTTGACCCAGATTTCAAGATTCAGTTTTCAAAGAAATGTCAGATATAGCGTGTATGAAGTTAAATGGTTGGTTTGAGTTACTTTGAGATCACATCAAAATACAAATTGGTTCGCATGTTCATTATGCAGATAACTGTTTAACAAATATGCAAAATTAACATGGATATGTAATAGTGCAAGCGGAGATTGTTGTCCTATGGACACATAATCGTGCACCGATTCTTGTTTGATTTATATATTTAACATTAATGTTTTAGCCGCAATTTGCTGACTTGTTCTGTAATATAGAAAGAGAATAGTTATTTGAGGGTATAAATGGGGTTTACAGAATAGAGAATAAATGGCTAATATATTTTAGAAAATGGGTAAAAAAAGAAGAGTGAAAAATAGGCCAAAATGATAAAGAATAGAGAATAATGTGCAGAACAAAGAATGATGTGCAAAATTTATAAAGAATAAAGAAAAATGGTTTAAAAAAATTAAAAAACACAGGTTTGAAGGACTCCCCACCCGTACCCTCTTATATTCATGATATCTCAATCTTTTGTTACATTGAATTCGCAGCCTTAGTGCATTCTCAGTGGCGTAGCTAGGCCATTTTTAAGTGTACGCCCGGACCTCGGCGAGGGGTCTGTGGGTCCTCAGTGGTTCCAAGGCAGCGAGGGGGCAAACCCCCGAAAGCTCACGCGTTATCGTAAAATATACTAATTCTATCATTAAAAACTCTTCTATAGCAACATACATTATAGTCTAATTTCTTTATTTTCATGTTTAATTTCTTTATTGTTTTAATTTGGAATCTAATGAGCATTGGTCTGAGAGAAAAATGTCGAAACCAGTTAGTGTAAAATATGTTAAAAGGAGATGTGCGGTAAAACAATCAACCGACCAAAAAAACTTTAGATAGTAAAAAAGCAAGTCTCCATTTCAATATTGTTGATCTATTAATTATTTTGACCATGTAAATTTCTCCCATTTTTATGCAAAAATTCCTTTAACGGACACATGAAATAATAATTTACATAGATGGCCAGGTGTAATATAAAAAATCGTAAAGAGTTCCGTGGAGCCCTGTTTCTCGCCTGGGATTTCAGATGTCAGTGTAAAATTGTAATATTGACTGTAAACATTGGATCCATTTATCAGTCAAATAAAGGATTTAAGAAAAAATAAAACTTGTTTTTTAAGGTGCTTTTTCTTGATCTTGAAGATAAGCTTATTTCTAAGTTTCATTACAATCTATGAAGGTTTACATATTTATCATGTCAAAAATATCAATCCCAGACCGTCTGTTAATTGCAATAAAAAGAAGTCAGTTAAATTCTGAAAAAAATTTTAAAAAAATAATTTCAAAATTTTGCTTCAGACATTATCTGGTAACCATCAAAAAGGTTCTGCCAAATTTTCATAAAATTCGATCAAGATTTGACAAAGAAATTGATGTGTAATAAACTTTAACCCCAGACTGCGTCTACAACTAACAAAAACACTAAAGACACACACAGTACCAATCTGAAAGTACATATTGTTACTGCTAGTTCCAAGACAATAACAGCGAATAAAGAAATCATGTACCCAAGACAAAATAAGTACAGAAATGGATAGATAGTTATATCATACTTTTCGACAGGGTTCACAAAAGTGGCCTCATCATACATTCTTTAACCTAGAAAACTTCTTTTGTAGAGCAATTGAGTCGTCTTTTTAATTCAAAGAAAAATAACAGCAAGGAATATGAACTACATCCGAAGGGTAAGAATATGAACAATATTTACATTGTGAAACAACATAGGTATAGAGAATATCAAGTAGATGGCAGTAAAGCAGCTTAGCACCATTAACAATACATAGTTAACTGCAAAAACGATATTAAACTATACTGTCTACCAGTAAAGTGTATCAGTATACTACACACAAAATCTACTTAAATTAATATCACTGATAAAGATACTAATAATCCTAATGCAGATGATACTGTAAATTCAGAAATTATTGCTTGCATTCATTATTGAGATTTTTGGAGAATGAGAGGTTAATTATTGCGATTTCTGGAAAATCAGCATGCAGATACTTGTATCAGATATCAGAATGCGAGCTCTTATTATATTGCGATACTTACCAAGTCGCATTATTCGCAATAATAAAAACCTTGAAATAATTTTTGAATTTACAGTACTTAAAATAAGATCATAAAAAATATGAAAATATGTAAATATCAAGAGGACAAATGTATACAGGATTACGTTATTGATTTTAGAATTTTCCAAAGGTGTTATCGTATGGTCATAATATATATACTCGAGGGTATCATCAGCCCAGTAGGCAGTACTTCGGTACTGGCATGAAAATACGAACGGATTTTTTGTTATTAAAATTAGCTGTTACAAAATGTTAGAAATTATTTTAAGTTAAGGAATATATCTCCCTCATGCAAAGCTCTGATTCCTTGCCCGGCTTGGCTATACTTTTTTTTACCTTTTTGGATTATAGCCCTTCGTCTTTTTAATAAGCTTTGGATTTACAAATATTTTGGCCTAGAGCATCACTGAAGAGATTTTATTGTCGAAATGCGCATCTGGTGCAGAACAATTGGTACCGTTAATGTTTTTCTTGTAATTAAAAATATCTCTCAAAAAAGGAACAATTTTTTTTTTAGAATGTGCTTAAAATATGAATCAACTATTTCTGGACATAGAACCCACTGACAAAACATATATTTAGTCTTGAAAACCATGTCCAACCAAGGATTTATTAATTGATTGGTGTTTAACGCCACTTTCAGCACTATTGCGCTATTTCTAGGCGGTCATTTTTTTATTGGTGGAGGAAGCCACATTGCCCGGAGGGAACCACCGACCTTCGGTAGGAAAATTGACAATCCTAGTTAATTAAGATGGAGTCAAACGCACCTGTTACGTGCCGGATTTGAACTCACAACCTCAATGTTGACAGGCTGCCAACCAAGGATACATAAGGGACAAGTAATATCTAACTAAAATAAAGATTCAACTAGGTCTTATGACCATACCACATAACACCTCAGTAAAATTCCAAAATCAAATAATTCTTTACAAATTTGTTATCTTGATATTTTCATATTTAATTTTTCTCGATGCTCTAATTATCATCTGCATTAACATAGTTAATACCAAAATCAGTGATATTCACTGAGGACGTTTGAATTTATTCGAATCATGATAAGCAAAATCTGCCATTGCACCAATTCCTAAATGAACATCCGATTACATGGCGCTTGACCTCGCTATAACATTTACATTATCCTCCGCATGCAATGAATCTGATTAGAAATCATTAGCTGTACCATCGCCATTCAATAAGTGTGCCAAAGAATTTTGCCATGATAGTAATTGTTCACAGTTCTCATTTGTTTTCCTTCAAAGTTTGCACCTTGATCACGGCGAACGGTATTTAAACATCCATTATGTACACAAAAAGGTATTCCTGTCAGTTTTTGCATTATGCGTTGATATAGCCTTAATATATTTAGTGATCTGTTTTGGTGAGAGTGAATAAGGCAGATTACTTCAGTATGTTTCTTAGTCTAAAAATACACACAAATCAGTGATAAAATTAGCTGTTTCCTTGTTTCTCCTGTTCTAGTATCAGAGATGATCAATACTTCTCTTGCCTCTAATGTAACAGTATTATTGAAATCACAGTTTCCTTGTTACACTTTGATTGGTACCAAAAATGTTTCCTTGCTTCCCCTCTTACAGTTTCAGAGGTATCAATAACTGTTTCCATGTATCCCCTGTCCCTGTATCATTGGTATCAAAAACTGTCATCAGACACACGGAGAATTATCTTGTTCCGTTGATTGATATCGTTTGATTTTGTCAGTTTTATATTATAAGCTTTCGTTTTTTTCATAAGCTGTGGATTTTCAAATATTTTTGGCCTCGAGCATCACTAAAGAGACATTTATTGCCAAAATGTGCATCTGGTTCAGATAAATTGGTACCGTTAATGTTATTATGGACTACCCTTTTTTGATTTTGCGTTGGAGTTCGGTATTTGTTATACTTTAGATAATCAATTTAGTTTATTTTTCATTATAATTTATACTTTTTAGTTAATATATATATATATATATATATATATATATATATATATATATATATATATATGTGTGTGTCTAATACTAATATCAAAACCATTTAAGGACAAAGCGTTTCAACACAGACAAGTTTAGTCACACAGGAGTATTTAGAAGATAAAGATGTTAGCCTAAAGAAACAGAATATAAACCCAAACAATGCACAGTTTCCTAAAGGTAAACTAAAGAAAACTTATTTACTGTTTATCTTGGATTAAATAAATGTTGTAGATTTAAATGAAAAAAATGGTAAAAGAATCGATGAAATAATATGAAAGGCAATTTTTCAGTTTTTATCATTTGTGAATTATGGGCTTATTAACTCATAGTTCATTAGAAATATATAATAGATACCAAAATTTACAGTTGCAGTATAAAAATGGTGTAATTATGATTTGATTTTTTTTTAAAGTTTAAGTAAATAAAATGAATCATTTGGTTAAGGAATACAGTATAAGTGGTAATAATAACTGTTCCGTTGTCTTCTCTGTTACGGTATTAATGGTATCGAATGTTTTCTTGTCAACCCTGTAAATATCGCTGATTTCAATAACTGTTACCTTGTCCCCTTGTTTGGTATCAATGGTTTCACAAATGTTTCATTGTCTTCTCTGTAACAGTATTAGTGATAGCTGTGTTCCCCGTCACAGTATCGAAGATATCATGAACTATTTCCTTGTCTCCGCTGTTGAGACATTAGGTGTTTCATTAAATGTTGCTGGTCTCGTCTGCATGTAACCATATCAGAGGATAATAGATGTGTCCATATTTCCCCTGTTTTTGTATCAGTAAATTAAACACATTTTCCTTGTATCCTCTGTTATAGTATTAGTGATGCAATTGATGCATTGATAACGAAAAATGTTTCTAATTAATGCTAATTTGACAAAATTATTAAACTGATTACAATTACAACGTATTTCCTTTCTTTAATATTTTTCAAAAGGTGCTGGACATGGTAATAGCTGTGTGAAAATACACAATTGTGTATAGGGCTGGTGGTGTTTAGATAAATCTTAGTAACTTTCAGTTAATTTTATTTTACAGCCGAATCATCTCTTAATAATGTCACTTAATATTTCACTAAAAATGAACTCATCAAAGATACCAGGCTTATGATTTTGTACGCCAGAGTCACGTTTTGTCTACAAAAGACTCATCAGTGACGCTCGAATCAAAAAAGTTAAAAGGCCAAATCAAGTATGAATTTGGAGGGCAATGATGTTCCTTTTTGTTACAATTCTGATAAACGAGACATTAAATTAGGCTTTGCATTTTTGATTCAAGTTCTAGCTGTGCCATTATTTGAACTGAAACTACTCGGGCTTTATTCAGAAAATACTGGTGACTTAATCCGTCCTGAACACCTGACTTCACCCTTATATTTCTGTACTCAACATTAAAGTACATATTTATGTTATTTTATATATTAGTTTCATTATTATATTTTTGTTACAGGTTATTATTATATCTGTTGATGCAAATTATTGTACAAGTAATTTACATTGATAATATTTAGTTCATTGATTTCTATGTTTTGAATTTCCTCAGTGTCAAACCAAGGAAACGGATGTAATGATTGTGGCATCAAGACGAGTCCAGTTATATCTACTAGTAGTAATTTTGAAGGAACAACAGAAGGTACATCTTATCAAGACAATTTGAAGGTTTTAAGCCATTACAGTACTTGTGTTTTGGTTTCATAGAAAAATCTATTTTTAATAGAAATAATGTATCATTAGTGTGACCGTGTGTATTCACGGATTTGGGTTGTGTTTTCGAAACATGGTCATAAACGTATAAATTATTGAGGGGAAAGATTATTAAAAAAACTGAGGGAATCGCAGGATCTATGAAAGGGCCGAGACGGGGTGTGTCAATAGGTTAATGCATGACTTTTTAGCTAATCTTTCCGAAGTCAGGGTCTTCAAAACTGTCAATTGACTTATTATATGAGTCATTGTCTTTCAATATATTTATCAAACATAAGGCTAAAGCTTGAGCAATAGTTCAATATCTTAAAAACCGCAATAAAAACAGAAAAAGCAAATCAAAATAAAAAAAAAAAGCCAATATAACTAAAATCGTGAATTGATTCTGGATAGGAGTTATTTGCCTTAAATGTCCATTTTTGACGAATGGCAACATTTGCGCCTGTAGACAGAAGCGGTAAACTCAAAAAAAGTCAGTAATATAATATCAACAAAACTGCTAAATTGACGACAACTATTTCCGGTCTAATTTTAAGAGTTATTGTCCTCAAAAAATGATGATTTTTGAAACAGTTTGGCATTGTTTGCCTTTTATCTTGAACGCAATAGCAGATAGACAGAAACTGTAAACACCAAACATGATCAGCAATGAAAGGTTTTCAATCTCAAGATTACCAAATGGCGACACAATCTGTCGACTCCATGTATGAGTCATTGTCCTTTAAAGAAGATTTCATTACTATATTAGTGTTTTGTCTATAAATTTGTAAACAATAACAGATTGACAATTGTAACCTGGGGAGGGGGAAGGGGGTTGAGTGATGATTTTGTAAATTATTGATATAACAACGGTTATGTTATAAAGGCTTCAGAAGTACGAAATTTATAAAGTATTATTTTCATTTACAAGCATTGGATCCATTTATGTCATATGGTACCTGACGTTTCAACGTATTTATACATCCCTTAATTTAAATTCTTTAAGTTTGAACGTTCCCGATGAAGGTAAATCCCGAAAATCGCTTCAGATTCACAACATTTATAAAGTGTTATTATCATTTACTAGTGCTTATGGACTTTTAGTTTTCGAAGTAATTTTCAGCTCAGTTGTCAGTGATTCAGTAATGTCATGATATGCAACCTTTTTTTTCTAAAATATCCTGTTGGGAAATAAGAAATTATTAAGAAAACTAAGGTTCCAACTCCACCTGGTAAAGTTGACCTTAGATGAATTTGGCTATTCTTTTTATGTATCTTTTGGAAAAATAGCTTCTTATGTTTCTACGTATTTAAACATTCCTTTTTCAAATGTTTAGGTTTGAGAGCTTCTGCTGAAGGTTAATCCAGAATACCGTTTCGGACGCACTAAATTTATTTAGTGTTATTTTCATCTATTAGTGTTTAAGCTGTACTTGTAAATTCTTTCAAGATGACTGTTAAGTTCTGCATCAGAATAAGGAGAACGTAAATAAAGTTAATCCAGAAAAGCAATTTATACATAAAAATAAGAAGATGGACAACTCTCCAACCTAGACCAAATGACATAGAAGTAAACAACTATATGTCATCGTACGGCCTTCAATAATGAGCAAACCCCATACCGCACAGTCAGCTTAGTTTATTTTTCAATAATTTTACATGTTTTATTTGGATCAATTATTATTTTAGTTTAACTGTAGATATATGTGTCTTACATTGAAATTAAAACCATTTAAGGACAAAGCGTTTCAGTTGCAAGAGGAACACTCCTACCAGATGATAGATTGAAAAAAGTTGACCCAAAGAAACAAAAAACAGACTCAAGAAATGTACTAAAACCAAGAGGTAAATAAAGATAGCATTTTCATCAACAATCTTGAATTTGAAACATTGTGTTCATTAAAATACAAATTTCGTAAAAGAAACAAAGAAATAATATAAACCCTATTTTTTAGTTTTTGTCATATATAAACTGTGGGCTTATTTACGCACTTTTCATTGGAAATCTGTAATTGATATACTTCAGCTATAGTACAAAAGAAGGGTGAATTTGACATAAACTTGAAACAAATAATCATTAACGGTACCAATTGTTCTGCACCAGATGTGCAATTGCGAATTTAATGTCTGTTCAGTGACGCTCGGGGCCAAATTATTTAAAAATCCCAAACTTATTAAAAAGACTAATAGTTTATTAAGAAACATGACAGTCTGAAGTTTCAAAAACTCTTTAAAAACAATTAATTTGTATAAGGTGGGCTGGGCTGCGTGTGGTACCGACACATCTAGATTCATTCAATTACATAGTTTTAAAGCTCAATATTTAGTGGGAATACAAATGATCATGTCATAATTGACAATGTAAACAAAAACAATATTAAATTGAATCTCTACAGCTGTCCATTTTGTCCGGCTTAAATGCAAAACAGAACCCAAGTCAAGTCAAGTGTTCTCAAAAATGAATTTAAATACATACTAAATTCCTGACACGCACTACCAGTATACGTACTCAGTTGCAATGCCTCAATCGGGAATAGGACACAATCGGTAAAATTATAGATAAAACCAGTATTCTGGTATATAAAGCTCTAAGACTGCAAAACTGGAAAGTTGCAATCATCATGTTTTCATAGATTCTAGTTTGAAGTCGTCAATTTTTGTCAATATCGAGGAGAAAATCAAGATATGTAGCAGATATTCTATTTTAGGTATATTAATTTTAAATTTACTTGGAATATGAGATGCAAGCACTTGCTGAAATATGATTTATTTTGTGACAGGACATCATATTTGAAAGTGGAATTAAAAACTCTACAAGTTTTTGTTAGTTTGTCTTTGGATGTTTTTGTGTGAATTGTTCTTCTTATGAGTACAAAACCAAGTAGGCCAGTAGGGATGGACAATTAGTACCAATTGCAATCACGACTGTCTGTTAAAGTATCAATCCATCAAACTAGATTGAACTGTCCAAATTTGTTCTAGGGTAGAACTGCCAGGATCTGTTCGAGGGTATAAATAAAGGCAACCGTAGTATACCGCTGTTCAATAGTCATAAATCGATTAAGCGAAAAACAATTCCGGGTCACCAACCAAAACCGAGGGAAACACATCAACTATAAGAGGAAAACAACGGAACAACAGAAACACTGAACTGCAACAAAAACAAACGCCAACATAGAAACGGACTATTTGATAACAACTGCCATATTCCTGACTTGGTACAGGACATTTTAAGAAAAAATATTGGGTTGAACCTGGTTTTATGGCTAGCCAAACCTTCCGCTTATATGGCAATGTTAAAAATACCGCTAAAATTACAACAATACGTGACAAGAACACTCTGGACAGAGAAATACATAAATAAATAATATAATAGTACATTACAACATGTAAACCACAGAATAACAACGGACACCATTCTAACCATGTCGGTTTTCTTCTAAATCAAAACTGTGTATAAACAAAAAGATCCTGTGCATAAAGTTGCTTTTAACTAACAATCATATAAATGAAATAGCTGATTAATTATCTTAACCTTTACATTCATATAGAAAATAAAAATAAAATAACTGTAATATAAGGCAAGATCACGTAAGACCAAACAGTAAACACACTTGAAAACAAACAACATAAAACAAAAACACTGTAGACGAACCACGAGCAACCCGACCACACTGACAAACAAGACACACGCGAAATTTTCCGTAAATAACCACAAATTCAAACCACAAACGATAAGACATAACACAATATCTAACCAAATTTACAAACGAAACATCATAACTAAATATATGAATGTTGGATGTATCAATACCGAGACACGTCGTATAGCAATGCGAATTCACACTCGGGAAAACAGTCATATTCGGGAATAGGTCACGTACGGTAATTAGCAGACCAGACGACGTAGATGGTAAACCACATTCTAAGACGTGGTAAAAATGTCGTTAGTTAGTTTAGACACAGACATATCGTATATATCAACCAATTCGTGATGGTGTCCATAAAATTGAGGGAGTGTCATTTTTAATCTTTCCTCCTCATAACTCTGTTGGAGCAGTTTCTGCGTAAGGAGCACCCTCCTGTATATGAAGTCCGTATAGTGTGAACATGCACGAGCATAACGTATCAACTAAGATATGTAAACACCATACGATGGGACAGAGGGTATGTTACCGCTGAAAATCGGAAATTGATAATTGGGAAGTGTGAAGTCGTCCATCTGTATCAATATTGAGGAAAAGATCAAAGTATGATGCAGTCCTTCTAGTATCAGTAGTATCCTTAATTTCAAGTTCACTGGGATATGAGATGTAAGTACTGACTGAGATATGGGTTATTCAGTGATAGGACATCATCAATATATCTGAAAGTAGAATTACAGAATTTCGTAAGGTGCTTTTTCTTTTTGTCTTTTAAAAGGTTCTGAATGAATTCTACCTCATACGAGTACAAAAACAAATCGGCCAGTAGGGTTGCACAATTAGTACCCATTGGAATACCGACTGTCTGTTGAAATATCAATCCTCCAAACTGAACAAATATATTGTCGATCAAAAAGTCCAGTATTTTGATAATATCATCTTCAGTGTATTTTCTGATAGAATCAGTGTGGTTCTTCACAAAATAAATATTATTATAACCCAAAACAAGAAATTTGTATCTACGATTCCCATTTTTATAGAAAAAGCTCAGTTTAATGGGATGGTGAAGTCGATCTTTCAATTGAGCATGGGGAATAGTAGTGTAAAGCGTAGAAAAATCAAAAGTCTTAATGTTGATGCAAAATTGCAGAGATTGTGATCTAAGATTTAACAGTAGATCTTTAGAATTTTTAAGAATCCACATCTGATTGACACCACTGGTTGAATATATCTCATCACAATATTTTTGAAGGAAGGCCATCTTTAACTGTAGAAAGAATAGTAGTCGGCACTTTAGAAAGATGTTTAGTCGAACATCTTGATGATCCAGCTATGTATCGTTCTTTATAAGGAGTTTTGTGAAGTTTTGTATGATATAATGATGGTAGACTTTCTTCGTTTTCTTTGATGTTAATACCAAATGAAAGGACAGATTTGTGATTTTCTAAAATTTCATCCTTTGAAAATGATGTTAAAGTATATGTAGGATTACCAGTTTTGCTGTTTATTCCAAGCTCTTTTATGAGACATTCCAAGTAATGGTTTTTACATATGAAAACAATATTATTGGAGGTATTTTCTGCAGGAACAACGACATATTTGTCATGCAAAGAGGATAAAGCAACCACAACCTCCGGGTTCTTGAATGGGTTAGAAACCCTTGTGCTCATAGTACATCGTAGTTTCTGAATGCGCTACTGAATGCATGATCGAATAGCTTTGATCCATTCAGACAAAGTGTCCAGTTCTGGTTCATCTGGCTTGCGCTTTACCCATGTTCTGGCATAGTCCTATAACAGTTTTAAATTATGTAAATTAGAGAAGTTCTCTGGTCATGATTTAAAACAAGGAAGTCAATCCAGTACGTTGGATTTCCCTTGTAAATCATATTCTAGATTTTGGATGTTTTTTAGTTCTGTTATTTCTTAATGTTTACCATTATTTCTAAATAAAAACATATTTTTATTTGTATATGAGAATGCTCAAGCAGCAGAAGAAATATACTTATTATATTTCCGTATTTATTGTCAAAATAGTAATTTTCGGAAAGAGGGTCACTTTTGGTGTTTATTACAGGTAAAAAAAATCGATTACGCATTAACTCGAGAAGTGTATTTTTACCTGAGTTGGCCGTTTTTGTAGAATGATTTGTCTTTGAAGTTTTCATCCTGTAAAATAGTATAACATATTTACTATTGCCGACATACAGGTTTACCTGTCACTGCTGAATGGCATTAGAAGGTAAATCAGTGTCTTATTTTAAAGTAAGCTCTAAAACTTTAACATGTATCTTATCACAAGAAAATGGCAATGGATAGGACTTATACATTTTTATAACTTAGGTCGTCGTCTTCAATACAAAATAATCATTTCAATAGAAAATATAATATGACATAATACACTAGACATCCAAATATACATTCCGGGTTAAAAATTTAAATTATAAAAATACCGAACTCCAAAGAAAATTCAAAACGGAAAGTCCTACCTAAAGGTTGACTATTCTTCTTTTTTTAATTTTTTGCGTGATTCTGTAGCTTTTGAATTCATGGAATCAAAGGTACCATTACTGAAAGAAGACGAACACGGTAAATATTTAATTTTTTATTGTTAAAATTTGCAACTGTAGAATTTCTATTTTTGTGTCAAACCAGAAAAGTAAAATATAATGTCTTTCTTTTTTGCATTCTGTTAATGTTAATATCAAATCATTACAATCTTTAGTTTCTATTCTTTCAACAATCATGTTATTGCTTACCACACATCATATACTGAGTGGCAATAGAAACGCAACCCCTTCATGTATTTGCCTTTTTATAAACATTCAAACCGACAGATCTTCTTTGGAAGTTAATTAATCATTCTACGATTTTGAAAACTCGTTATGATATGGCTTCAACAATTTTTCTTTGCATTTGGTCAAGAATGATCGTATTTTGATGAAAATTTGTGAGTTTTGATTTTGATCCCTATTGGACTAATCGCAGGTTTCTGAACTGTAAAAAGTCGATGTCAGACCAAACTGCTAAAGCAACATGTAGCCAAAAAAGTGGGACGAAAGATACCAGAGGGACAGTCAAACTCATAGATCGAACAAACTGACAACGCCATGGCCAAAAATAAAAAGACAAACAGACAAATAATAGTACAGATGACACAACATAGAAAACTAAAGACTAAGCAACACGAACCCCACCAAAAACTGGGGGTGATCTCAGGTGCTCCGGAAGGGTAAGCAGATCCTGCTCCACATGTGGCACCCGTCGTGTTGCTTATGTTATTACAAATCCAGTAAATAGTCTAATTCGGTAGGTCACATTCGTAAAAAATGTTTCATATATCTTACAGCAATTTTTACGATTCTAACTCCAGCAATTAGTTAATTTTGATCATATCAAAGAATTTTTTCTAGGATTCAATGAACATGAACATGGAGAGAATTAAAGTAGTATGTTACAATAAAGTCAATACTCCTGAAGACTTATGTGGACTAAATACTTATAACATGTCATGTTGTGCAGACGGAAACAACGGAATACATGATGTCATGGTGTGTAATTTGGCTTATATTTTTGAAAGTGTAATTATCTTTCTAAAAATATGTTTTATTTTTAGAAAGAAAATTGTATACTTGTATTTTGTGAAACTTTTGATTAATTTTGGTTTTATTAATGTTTACCTATGTTGTGGCAAGTAGTCGACATGTCACAGTTTGCTCAAAGTAATTTGTTTTGAAATATTAATTGTAATTAACATTTCACTAGGATATTTTAAGTTTTTATCAAAACATTAAGAGATCATGCTTTGTTTAATTATATTCTATTTTGCTAATGAGAGTACTATTTTACATATCGTGTCATTAGTTTTTGGTTTAAGTATATATAGCGTTGTGAAATTTTAAAAAAAGGAGTCATCTTTCGGAAACCTAAACTTACACTGCTAAAGTCTGTTATACTGGATCTTTAAGACTGTCGATCAGTCGACCGTTGACTTAGTAGTGTTAAGAAAAAAAATTATCTTTGACTCACTTTTTTTTTTGAGAATTTTTTTTTGAAAGCAGTCAGTGTTTCGGAACCGTAACCTCTAACTACTCATGTCTTTTATGCTGGACCTACAAGACTGTCCACCAGTCTACCAGTTGACTATGTAGTGTTGAGACAAAAGTTATTTCTGTAGCAATTTCTATTTGAGAATTATTATATTTTTGAGACTTTTACCATTTTGATTTTGAAATTAGGTTCATTTTTTGATTTAGTAGTTTTGGCATTTATATTAATTTATTTTAATATGACATTGTAAAGAGAAATTGTTTTACTTTGGATTTGATATTTAGATTTGATATTTTGTACCTTGATTAGAATATAACTATAATTATTTGGCATTGTTTAATGATTGATTGTTATCATCATTCATCAAAATTTTTATCGTTAATTGAATTATGAAAACCTTCATTGCGTTTTATTTATGCCAGAACATTAAGTCTAGCGATAGACTGACCCCCTGTCCCTTGATTCAACTACATACGCGTTAGCTCCCCCTTATCTAACAGTGCTCTAGACCTTGGTGACAGATACAATAACTGGATGCAGCAGTATTGTTAAAAAATGCGTACAAAGTTTACAAAATTTAACAGGACCGTATCGATTCTTCACTGTTTCATGCTGACGATACAGAAAGGACTCCAGTAAAAATCATATATATATTTAAAATTTAATTGTGGATACTGAGTGTTATTCAGAACGTCAAATTTTCATCTCGCATTTTAACTGCATCAGATTCATCAAAAGAAGGCCATCAGCAATTTAAGCTGTCATATTTCTATGTACAACAATGTATATACTACTACTAATAGCATTTTGTTGATCGTTTGGTAATGAACTTTGCCGCCTGTGAGATCTACATTTCTAAATTAAGATGTTTTATTTATGATAAACTGTTGTGTATTAATAATTGCTTTGTAAACTAAGCTTTTTGTGAGTTCATGCTGGTGTATTGTGCCAGTCTTTATTTTATTTGTATCTTGACATTAATGCGAAATGTAAATTTAATGTGTATAGAATAAATAAAATGTAACAATGTTTTTGGTTCATAAATATTATAAATATTTATTTTGCTGATAAGTATAATATGTTTAACAAGCAGACAATCAAACTATTGCCCGTTGTCTAACATTTGAAATTCCTGATTGCCCCCCTTAATTTGTAATCTTTTTGTTTTTAATAATCAAATGTGGGACAATCAGGATGACAGTTGTGTTATTCCTTGTCATTGATATATAGATGGTTGTCTAATTGGCAATTATAACTTATCTTATTCCCCTTATTTTGCCGTTAACATCAAATAATATGTACAGGTTGGTACTCTGTGTCTTAAGTAATTTTGTTAGTTCTTTTTAAGGCTTAGTATCCATTTGATGAGTCTAGCCATTATTCAATTCATTTTTTGACATATCTTTTTATTGCAATGTTAGATTACTTTCCCAGGTTATTGAGATAAGCGCTCACAATAAAGAGATGTGGCATGGTATTGCCAATGAGAAAAATATCAACCAGAGTAAAAAAAAAACGTAAGCAACTATAGGTCACCGTACGTGTTTTACAGTGATGTTTCAATTTGTTTACCCTTGTAATTATATTTTACTTAATTTGTACTTTATCGAGAAAGGATATACTATATGTGGTAAGTACTATCAACTACAAAAACTTTTTTGTTGACATCTGTGTTAGAGTTATTTGCATGTTTGTTTGAAATTTTTAGTCAGTTGTGTTGTATGTCTGTGATGTATGGTTACCCAATTTGGCTACTGAATTCCTATTATTGTCGCAGTAACCTATTATGTCTGTTTGGGTTGCTCACCCAATTTTATCAATATAACAGAATTACTATAAACAACTGTCATACAAATTGGAGGGTTAGCTAGCTAAAAAAAACAGGTTAAACCCACCAATTTCTTCGGAAAATGAATTTACCAGGTCAGGAATATGACAGTTGTTTTTCACTCGTTCCGTTGGTTGATAACGTTTGATTTTGTCAGTTTTTATAGACTTCCCCTTTTTGAATTTACCTTGGAGTTCGGTATTTTGTTATACTTTTTTAGGTGTGCCATATTCTCATGTGCCTGTCTCAAGCCAGGAGCAAGTAATCCGGAGGTTCTGAATGTTGTAAGACGCTGTCTGTCATAATGGTTTTTCGATAATTGTTTGTACCGATTATCAAGTTGTCTGCATATTGAAATTGTAAAATATCAGCTGCGAGTCACAATATGAAGCTTTTTGTCGAGTGAGCACAGGGAACGAGTTCAAAAAGGCTTCATATTGTGTCGTGCAGCTGATATTTTACAATATATATATGCAGACAACCAAATAATCGAGTTATCGGGTTGTTTTTGCGAATTTTGCATGATAGAAATAATTGTTTTTCTTGTTTCACCAGCATACCGGAAGATGACTTGATAAATTCGGGTCAAACTTATCAACGTCGGTTCATTCATTCTGACGTCAGTGATATGTTCGGGTCAAAGTTATAAGGATGTATTATTCTGATGTTTCAGTCTCGTTGAAATGTCGTTCGGGAATTATTTCCAAAACATGTGATACAAGTGGAAAATATCAATGAATTTAAAAAACAATAATAATCAAACTAAACTCTGTGAAAAAATTGTGTACATACAATAAGCAGTTTTTGATAAATAAAATTTTCATATTTGATTACCAATCCGGTCAGTGTCATCAGCCAAAATGGATGAGGGGTACTAAGAAACGATTTTACCAAAAATATGTTAATCCCATATCATTTTTTTTCTTTCAAAATTCTTAGATATGTATTTTTTCAATCATTTATAACCAAAACGTTGTATTAATATGCATGTTCTTCTAAATAAAAAAGAGAAAAATCCCAAATTTACAAAATTGACAGCATGGTCAATTTGACACGAAAAGCAACAACATTTTATAAAACTTTTTAATATTAACACCAACCTATAGTTTTTTTAAGCTAAATTTATTCAGATTGGTCCACTTCATCTTAAGTGAAAGTATGAAAAAAAGTTGAATTGTAAAACTGTGATTTTTTTCATGATAATAGCCCAAAAATAGGTAAAAATTGATGAACAATGGGAAAATCATTAAAAATGGGGTACTTTCAAAAGGCCGTAGCAAAAAAAAAGGTACACCACCATATGATTTTTTTCTTCATCGATTACTTTCTTACAGTCATGAAAACCCAAAAATCAGGTTAAGAAAAAAAGTGTAATTCTATAAATTTTTGGCCTCTCAGAGGTGTACATCCTTAAGGCCGGGTCAACGTATTTTTTGACGTCACAAAGCCGTTATATGCAATTTTATTAAGAGCTGAGCATAGTGAAACAAACAGTGGGAAGTAGTATAGAAAGGGGGATTCTACACCACCTTCAATTTTATAGTAGAAATTCAGCATCTCACATCAAAAATGAATCATTTTAAAAAAACCAAATTCAAATAAAAGAATGACAACTGATAATTAAAAACCAATTGTTCAGAGAACAATTAAAGGTCTTTCCACTTTAATTTTCTAAATAATTGATAAGAAGCTACTTCTGGTTTCTTAAAGTTACTTTTGGTGTCTAATCATAGGTTTCTTCATAATGATTCATTAAATATATGGTTTCTATATACATTTGCCTGAAATAAGGGCGATAATTGCCGACTTCCGGTTAAGAAAATGTCACTTCCGATCTCGAAAGATAGCTGTATTTACAATGATTCCACAAATATATGGTTTTTCTATATTTGTGCCTCTAAAAAGGGAGATAATTGGCTACTTCCGGTTTAGGAAATGTCACTTTCGGTCTCAAATGATAGCTTTATTCACCCTGATTCCAAAAATATATAGATTGTATATACTAATGCCTGTTATAAGGAAAAAATTTGCTACTTCCGGTTTATAGAAATTACTTCCGGTTTCAAATGATAGATTTTCGTATGCCTATTTAAAAATATATGCTTTCTAGGTACTTTTTCATGCAATAAATGCAAACATGACTACTTCCGGTTCACTAAATGTCACTTCCGGTTGATATTTTTCAAAGTCACATGTCACTTAACAATTTGTAAAAAACCTTATGGCTGTATCATGTACCAATCTGAAGTAACAACCAATTTACCTTAAAATAAAACATTTGAGGGGCAATAACTCCTATAAGATGTCACTGCATTGTTTCAGACTCATGTATCATATCTTCATCATAATTTAGCAAAAACTAGTTCTTTTATATATAACTTAAAATGTGCCAGAGAAAATGCAAAAACAAGCAAAAGTCAAAATTGTGAACATGACCTTGACCTTTGACCTTGACTTCATTTTCTAAGTTAGGACTCAAAGAACCTCAAATAAAAAAACTCTAGGTTTATATGGCCTAAGGTTTATGAGTTACAAAAACATAATGACAAATTTATTTAGTAAAGGTAGATAACTCCTATAAGGTTTCAATGGACCGTTTCATTCCAAATCAGCCAAAAATTCCTGAGGATGTAACGAACAAATATGAAAAAGAATTTTGTCGTTATCTTTTTTTGGTTACGGAGGAGATACAATAACAATAAAAACAGTTTTTGGGGAGATAACTCTTACAATAAAAAAGTCTTCGGCTTAACAAGATGATTTTTAAAAGCATAATAACTGTTCGATATAATATATAAAATATCTAGGCGACATCTTGCGAAACATTTTTATACCGCAAGAAAAGGATTTGGCGGAAGAAGAAAAAAAAATAAATATAAATCAATTGCTGTAAAAAAGCAATTGTAAACGGTCTTTCCCCCTTTGAAACATGATTGATTGTTATGTATGTGTGTATTTGGTTGTTTGTTTGTTTGTTTGTTTGTTTGTTTGTTTCTTTCTTTCTTTCTTTCTTTTTTACATTAAATGGTCCATATTAGTGTGTTGGTTAAGTTTCTATTTTTAGTTTGGAAAGTTTTTATTCTATTTCAGGTCCCGCGCGCGTCTTTGTCTCGCGCCAGATTGTAGCGTCACATGACGACGCTTTATAATAGCGAAAACTTAGCATTTTTATTTCTTTTTAGGTGGAGACGTTGGATAGACAACATGTATAGCGACGGAATACACACAATGTATTTCTTTTGTCATTGTAGATAATTGATGTTTCGATCACAGTTAACGAGCAGTGCATGCTTTGGATTTAATTGGTCCTGTGTAACTTTAAAACACGTTTATCGATTATTTTCGTACAATGTACATTTTTCAGCAGCAGTTGGTAACACAGATTTTTATTTTAATCTAGGAGCAGACATTTTATTGTAGGATTTCACTGAGATTTACGGAGCTAGCAAGCGATTTTCACGGCATTGAAATTTCTTTTCTCTACGAGAATTCTTGGGAGGTAGCTGCACAACGTTGTTATATGAAGATGTAATGCATGTATACCCTGCTGACTGCAAATTCTGAGGTCAATTGGACATGTAGTTTCAGAGAAGATCAGAAAACATGCATGTGGAATTTTTTTTTCTTCAGAAGAATTGTAATAACAATAATATTAAAAACCAATTGATCAGACAACAATTGAAGGTCTTTCCACCAGTAAGGATCTATTTTGATATGAAAATATTAAAATTTGGTTTTAAATGTCAAATCCAGCGTCAAATGACAGCTTATTGTACGCTGATTCCAAAAATATATGGTTTCTATACAAAAAAATATAAGTAAGGGAGATCATTTTTTACTTCCGTTTTGAAAGATGTTACTTCCGGTATTGTTTGATAGATTACTTGACACTGATTCCAATAATATATGGTTCTGTATACTTTTACATTAATTTAGTACAAAAAATAGCTACTGGCCACAGACCACAATTAAATTCTCTATTAGTTCTTTATAACGTTTTGTTTCATTAAAAAATGCACCGATTCTTTTTGTCAAATATTTTGTGTGTGTAAAGTACAGTACAGTCCAAACATATATCAAACATTCAGAAATATCGCTCCCCAGCATCTTACAAATTTAGCCAATACACATCCATACCCCTATGGACAAGTCAAGAGATGTTCCGAAAACTGTAAATATCCCCTTTTTGCACCTGGCCTAATC